ATGTAACCACATTTTTATTCAATATCTGTTGTTTTTCTGTATCACTTGTTAAAAGACGATAATAATTATTTTGATGATTAATATGTAGTGACTCACATTTATCACGAGAACACGACTGGTATAATAAAAAGAATTATTATTATAACCAACTGTACCAGTGTTTGTTTTAATGTACTTTTGTTTGACTGTGCTAATGACAGCTATACTGTGCTTCCATTACTATTCACACTCTTTGATTGTGACTTCGCGCGAATTCGGTTACGTTGTGTAACCAAGCTTGTATCCTGGCACGATATCGGTATCCTTTCGATACCACGATTTGGTCCATTAATTGCCTTCTGATATTTGGCTTCTCAGGGATTTTATGGATTTATTTTGTTACGTTCAATCTTCGCCTTCTGATTTACTTGTCATGTGTTTTTTGGTAGCGTTGTTCATAGTCAATCCCGACTCGACGCCACACTACAAATATACGGATTTACTACTACCGCGTTGGTTAAAATATAGAACGCTATCTACGCCGTTTGTTCTCTTACTTTATTGGCCACGGTTTTCATTGAAGACTGTAGTAGTGTTATAACATCTTTTTAGGCCTTCCAACACTACGTTGGACTTTTGGTACGGATTATTATTATATAACACTATTGGACTTTGTCTTTCTCATTACGCCATTGATGCATTCACTTGCAGAGGGATCTTCGTCAGTCAAGTGAACTAAATTTGTGGTTGTTATCTCACGAGGAAGCTTACAAGTAACATTCACTCCATAATAATTGTTATTATCTGTTTGTTTAATATACCATTTGTATCTTAGCTGTATTTTGTTATCCTTGGTTTAACTCGCAGACAGACACCTAAGATTTTTACTGCTAACTCTCTTGGTATATTATTATTAATTTAGTGTGTCTATACATCTTGTATAAGCTCCTTTTGCTAGGAACCATCACAATGCTAACGATCATGGTCTTCGAGTCGATTTCACTCTATAAGTTGAGAATGACGTTTCAGATTGACCAAGATTCCGATGAAACTAATGATTGGTCTGGGTGCGCTAGTATTCGTAACAATTCAACTAGAAACCTCATTTACATTCCTGTTTACAGCAAACGAAATGTATATCCAGTTGACTCATATACATGGAAGTGATGCATAAGGAGACATTTATATCCCATTTCTGTGACCTGTACTTTCCTAAAATAATATATGGTGCTAGTGGTGTGTTAAGAGCTAGATTACTATGTTCAATGAACCCTTATTTACTATATAGTAACCAGTTATTCGTGTTTATATATTCCATACACTATACGCAGTTTTTAAAATAAACATCTAAAGCTTCTTATAGGTTCTAATAGTTTTATTCGTCCTCTCTTTGTCTGGTGCTTCAGGATATTCGTTTGATAAATTCTATCATTTTATTTTGACCTGCATTTCCTAGATCTTAAAGAACTTTATCGAGTAAAGTGTGAAACTACTGGCAGTAGTAAATAATACGTCTCGTAACAAAAATATGATATTCCATCTATTAAAACAGTAAGCAACATTGTGCCTCGACAGAATTTGAGCCAAGTCCATAGGTACTAACAACGAAATAAATAAGATGACTCAGCCGACTTTACAATTACTACGCCTTGAATTTGACCACATACAACTGAATAGAGACATCCACACTCACCCAAATCAAATCAAGCAGGATAAAACCCCTGTAGAAGGTTTTAATGAGTGAATTGTCACAGCCACAACAAGTTCAAGATTGACTGAACATGTAGGTGATGCCATGAGATGGGGTATAATGGAAAACCAACTATTTACTAACAAATCATCAGCTTCTAGTCGAAGATGTCCATGTTCGTGAACCAATGGGAAGTAATAACGAAATCACAGTCATATCTAACGTTTTGGAAAATGACGACTTGTTGTGACCGAGATATACCGGTTCATGTGATAACTCTAGACTTCTCATAAGCCTTCCAAACTGTAGGGTTGCAAAGACAGGTTTCACTGAGTCATTTCTATCTTGACTCCAAAACCACGCGTTCAACAGGATTTTTCGTACCAAGGACAATAGAGTACATGGGTGTTTGATGGTCTCAACATCGGTAGTTTCAAAAGGAACAGTTGTTTTGTAAACTTCTGTTCCCGATCTTTATCATTAATGTGTTGGATAGAACTGGCTAAGCGACAATAATCTATACGGACGAGTGAGGGATCTAGTGGCTCATTTGAAATAAAGCGGATCCACCTGAGATTTAAAAAAAAACAGACAAGAGTAGTTGACAGTGTGTTTAAATTTAACTGACAAAATGACATGTTCAGAACACTCTCTCCCGTTTTATGCAGAAGACGTACATCCTCCATGGAAATCCACTCCTGAACTCTTCTCAGAGGAATACTTTAAGCTAGTAACTATAGCGAGCTTGGACAACAACTAAAACTACATTGAAGATGTAACCTCAACAGATGTGTGGAGAAAAGTTAAAGTAGACCTTCTTATAATTAATTTTGTTGCTGTTTGCATTTTTCATCAATTCTTACGATTTGTACAATTTCGGTTTGTGAACACGCATAACATGAACCATAGATTATTGCTCACAATTACTCTGCCGTACACATAGGTTATTCTAGCCCCCGGACAGACCAATCTTTTCATTCTTCTGAAACCACATTTTGACCTTGTCATTTATTCGCTTATTGGCCTTGACTGTATCTGTGTGAGCGTTTCTGTGTAAATTTCCTATCTTACTCATTTTTGCTGGCTATAAATATCGATCCACGCTTTGGTTAAATGAGTTGCCTTACAAACCTTCTCCGCCGTGCCTCCTTTCACTTCACTCTCTTATCTTCGCTTCGTCTCTCTGATCGCTTGTTTGGATTAACGATTGTATGATATACGCGTATTGGAAAACCATTCTCATATTTGACTTACTTAAGTCTGTTTATAACTAATGTGAGTTAAGTCAATAGTTATATACGAGGATTCACGACATGTATATTTCCAGTGTTGTTTCTAACTCTTTGTAACGTACGCACCACTCCACGTTGGAGTTCGAAATTTCAATGTGTCAACGCTCTTCAACAGAGTTATAAATCTCTCGAATCAAGCACAGACACGAGCTACCAAGTGTGTGACATAGCTGATTCATAAATCTTACGAGGACAGACTCCAACCCTTTGGATTGTTCTTTCTGTGCAATATGAGGAGAGATAGTCTGATAACAGTATGCAACATATTAAGTGCTTCAAGCCGTCCAAATGCGAGCATATCCACAGAACGTCATCACAATGCTTCTCAAGAGGATTGTCCAAAAACTAAACGTTCAAGAGGAAAAACCAAAGTATAATCCCACTTTTTGTCATTAGGAGTTGCCTCTATTTGGAATTGTCACTAAGCCGAAATGACCACAGCCCCTTTAGTTGAAGGCTTAAGGCGGATACCTGATAGCATTCGATTTGCACTAAGAAGGACTTGACACACATGACATTTATCACCATCCAGTGATCAATCAACTGTGATTACATCTCAGTGCTACAGGAGGTCGGTCACGGCTCAAATAGCTCAGTGGCAACGTTTCTGGCTGTGAAGCTGGGTGACACGGGATCGAATTCGCCAGGGAGCATCAGTTCCCTCAAGATTACAGGTGCGTCTTGCTGACGAGTGCCAAGTAGCACGAAACCTGGGTCCAGGGTTTCCTGTTGACTACCTCCAACCACCATCTTACTTGATCAATATGTACTCACCCATCAATTGACATCTTCCTCTTGGAACATTTATCCAATGTGCGTCACATGTTATACAACGGTTATCACTAAAACATATCATTAACTGTCCTCTATCTCGATCATAATCACCTCAGGTTCCCCTCTTATTCTTTCGATTTGATCTGCTCACTGACCAACCAACAAACTTATTTGTTTATTGTTTGAACTAATCACTTGTTTGAAAACCAATTAATAATTGATTACTTTTCATACTGTATCTGGTCGACCTCCTGCCTAGTAATTGAATAACCGCTAGCGCCTTGAATCCCTATTTCCCTGGAAAAAAAGCACTCACTGTCCATTGGCTATTACAATATCTGAAATCGTAACAAAAATAACCAGAAGCAAGAGCAAAGAAGTTAATCGTTGTACACATGTTGTCACTAAGATAGTAGGTTGACTAAATATTGGCTTTTGTACACCGTTACCAATACTCTGCTAATTGTTCAACGCGTGCGTTACACCACGAGTAATTTACTTTCCTTATTTTCGTGGATGTACCAGCCCAGAAAAACGAGGTTCTTTCTGTATAAACTCGAATTTTGTACATCGATAAAAGCTTGACGACTCAGTTCGCTCAGAAAATGGTAACTAATAAAATTATAAATGTAATGATTAATATGTATATTAACATTCTGTTGATGTTAAACAAGGTTTCATTTTAACTTAGTTTCTTACGAGTCCTGATTTTATTAGCGAGAATTTAATTTGCTTTTTTGTACCTACTCGGTGTCCTAATTTAGAATAAGGCAAGTTAAAGTGATACTTATTTGTCTCGGCATTGTGTTTTTACCGTCACCTCATTCCTGGTTTATCCAACACCACATCAGTGTGGGCAGTGACCAAATCATAACACATATATGGGTCAAAGTATACTGTACACCTGTACAGTTATCAGCTGATCTACCTGGTTTTAAAATTTCTTTCCTAATCAATATTAAGCATTATGTTTGGTATATTTTAAAGAGCATGAACCGTTACATGTAGCGTTTTCATTTAGTTTCCCTTCAAAAATATTTTACTGCTACAAACAATAACCTAGCCTTATGATCTATCATTTGTTGGAAACTAATTTTACAAATAAATATAAGATTCATCAGGATTCCTATGTCTGTTTATCTAAGTAGTTTTTTCCTGGGTTTTAGACTTTCGACACAGTTATACGTTTTACCATCATGCTCATGACCATTTGTACCAATTACGTTGTGGTTCACTTTCAATGCTAATCAATCAGAACCATTGTAATGGAAAGTGAGTTTTTTATGTTTTAATTGCTTCTTCACATCTACAGAATCAAGAAATTGTTTGAGAAACCTTTTATCCACTAATCCCGTTACAAGAGTACTAATGGGTAGTGAGGGGAGTTCGAATCACTGTGAAACTGTTGTTGTAGACTACAGGTACTTTTTCTTTAAGTGAACTATCATTTTCATCAATCTCTTTCCCCTTCGTTCTGCCTTCATTAACATAAGCTCCCCAAATATTGCTAAACCATTTCACCTGGGGCATTTCCGAGCTACTGTAACAGGAAATTTTGTTAAAAACATCAATGAAGCTTTTGGAAATAAAGTAATTGGAATAAATTACATTGGTGATTGGGGTACTCAATTCGGTAACTATTTTGTATGCTTTCTGGACCCTTTTTGTAATTTATTTGACCTTTCTAAATGTATTGAGCCCGTTTATAAATGCTATAGGTGGAGAGAATTCCAGCTGCTATTTGTAGTTTTGTCGGTCATGTATTATCTGAGCTTTATAATTTAGTTTTGAAACCCATCACCATTCGAGATATCTTCTGCGCCTGCCTCTACATAAATTGAGTTTGTATGCGCCATAGGGTAACTAGCACTCAGAAAAAGGCAGCAAACTTTTATACGTTTATACCATCTATTTAAATCCTTAATTAAGTCGTAGATGAAGAACGCTAAAGTACATTGTGATATATGCAAATCTGTAAACGATAACCGAGTAATCTAGGTTTCAAATATTAGGTTCTTATTGGTTTGCTAATATTTCAATTTGATGCCTCAGTCTGCACATTCATACTATGCAATTGAACATCCTTAGTTATAACGCGGTTACAATCTTGGGTAACCTAATGAGATAATGAGTGGATATCGTCACTAACTTTCATCTCTACAAAATTGATGGGTTGAGAACATTCAGGTTTATCATGTACCTAAGCTCACAAAGCCAAACGATAAGTATGGGACGAAAAGTAAATCCATACTACCGGATTAACCTGGTATTAAACTTAACAAAGGTCTTAGCTTATATATCCTTACCTTACCGCCAGTAGAAGGACAAAAGCATATATTCTACCTAGTTTCATCCCTGTAACATGTTCGGCAGTGTGTGTTTATGGTTCTGAATCGCAAGAATTCTTAAAGTAACGAAAACCAAATGGGTTACATAAATCAATCATCCGATTATAACTAGTGCTACATTGTCCAGTAACTAAACGCATTATTTCGTCGATAAATTTAATTCAAAACTGCCAATTATGCCAATAAAAATTTAGCGACTGATATAAGTAATACCGTACAAATGTCTGTGGTTATATTGTACGGTACCGAATTGTTTATTAAGCGACATATGAATTTCACCCTCTCTTAGTCAAAAACCCCACCTAAAAACCCAAATAGTTTAGTTCTTAGTGAGACAATTTATCTCAAACAAAGCATTATATAATTTCTCTAAAGTCATTCTATTTAATAATATAAACTTTCGTAAATAAAAAAATAACCCCTAGATATCTTAGCATCGGGATTTTCAAAGTATGGGGATCAGGTTGAATTGCGAAGAAATCCCATTGAACATTTATACAAAGTAAGTATGTGTTAGTTAGAAATATCTGTGTTTTATTGTCGACTTACAAACCTATATCCAAAATATTTCACTCATAACAGTGTCGTTTTGAATAGATCAGTTTCTTCAACTTTTAATAGTGAGATGGACGATGTCAAATTACTGTTAAAACGACATAAGAGTAATAAATGAATCAATACATAAACCCCTTCTGCTGTTACTGCTTACTACATAAGTGAATGACTCGTTAGGTTGTTAGATATATAGTGCGAAGCAGACGTTTTCCATGAAGTATTTTCGCTAATGTCGTCTAATGTCTGTGGCTACGATACTGCATTTCACTCTTCGAAAATCCAAACAAAAATTGGAAGAAAACAACATATATTTCATTAAATCTGAATAGTAAAGTTATAGTTACGATGGGATTCACATGAGAATCTTGTAGCATCTTTTTGATTCTTCCACTGATTAGGTGCAAATCGACCAGTCACTGTATTGCGGTTTGAGCTTTATCAGCGAACACTATGGTCAGGACTAAGCTCCTAACAATAAATGACATCTGCTGGAAAACAGGGAATATCAAGTCGTTAACCACTGAGTTCAAGTAGACTTTAATTTGTTCAATGGCTGTGAACTTATTCATAAGGGTTTATACTTTTCCTTTGTTGATGTTAAAGACTTCAATGTACCAATCTCTACTGAAATACGTGTTTGCTGAGTAGATTGCCTCAACACAAGTTTTATTAAATGTGAATAACACATTAGCAGTTAGATCTATGGGTACTAGGTTCAGTTCACAATTTTGAACATCAACATTGGATGCAGACATTTTCTGCTGACAAGTTTCAGATGGAATAAATCGCCTTTCTTCAATTCTATTGCTACTAGCCATAGTCCAAATTTATTAAAACTGACGACAAACAGCAACATCGAAATAATGCTCTGAGGATACACATAGCCAACAGACACTGATCAATTATAATCGTTAACATCAACAATAAGGAAATAATATCCGTTATAAACAATAGGTCTTCTACCATTTTATTTTACTACAACAGGTCTATGTACAAGCGAATCGTGATATTCAATCATCAAATGAAAAAAATCTACCATATGGAATTGATCATGGTAATCAATCAGTTAACTTTTTCAAACCGATACTCAATAATACAACTGAAATACAATCTCGTGATACTGAATTCTGGCGATATATTCGTGAAGTAACTTGTGAACAGTTGCAATCAAATTACCAGGTAAAAAAAAGAATTACTATTTTATTATACATGTTATTATTGTCGTCATCTTCTTCACATTATTTTGTTTCCTGTTACTGTTCAGTAGTTGTAATTAAAGCTTGTTGATAGAACCCTTAATCAGCTATATAGGAGCGGTCAAACAAAAACGTGGCATCAGTCCACAAAGTCATTAACTTCTGGTTTTAGCTATGTTGGTAGATACAGACCACTTTGTTGGGATCCGCGTGACTATCGTAACCAATCGTTGGAGACTCTGGGCGACATGGCTCAGAATCGATCACAATTGCGTAGGTATATACAATCTTTGTCTTCTCTCAAACCGTGAGATTAAAATACCTTACATTTCTTTCTACAAACAGATTTTTATCCCTGTATCATATCCTTATATACAGTCTTTCTTTTACACATTAATACAATTGAAGTGTCTGGTTCTATGAATTTGGTGTTCATGTTGTTGTGCTGATGAGGTGTAGCAACTCGAACTGATCTATATATGTGCCTGGTCATTCGTTTTAGCTGACTGATATATTTCTGTGTTTATTACGTAAAAATAATTAAAAATGCTTCAACTCTGTATCTTTATTCTAATCGTCTATCACAATAAATTAATATCAGTTAGGAGAGTAGCTACTAAATAAAACAGGTTTTTTCTTCTAAAAAAGGAACACATCAGTGTACAGATCAGACGTAATAGGAAGTTATTCAACATATGTGAATAACTAAAGAATATGATAACTTTAGGTCATTCACTTTTCAATAAAATCAAGCTCAATTCACATGGCGTCATATTAATCTTTGATTATTAATTCTAGATACCTTATTGCCTTTTGCGCTGATTTTTCACAATGAAAAATATAATTAATTTATCAACAACAACAATAACACTTTTAATAAGGAAACCTATAAGGAATTTTAATTAACTAGGCTCAGGGAAACTAAGTAGTTTTAACGGCTAACTGCAATCGGTTAAGTCATAGGTTCGAATCCCCTTAAGGTTAGTGAATGTCATTTCATTTTATTACATCAAACAACATACCAGCAGAACAGAATAATACGTGGTATATTTATCGGTCTATTTGTTATTACGTCATACTTCTCTTGATTGCAAAAGTTAACTTTAATGTGCAGTCAGTAAAATTATATGTGATCGGCTAGTGGGTGTAAACAAATAGACACACAAGTGTGTTAAATTTATGGGACAGTTTCAAGTTGAATATTAATTTTTACGATTGTTATGTACCCTAGGTTTCATTGTGTATGAGCTACTTGTATTTGTGTTAATGAAACTTGTCTAACCTATGATCTGGTTCTCAATTGTATTGTTCTTGAATTCTGTATCGTTGTATATTATGATCTCTCGTTTAGTGGTGTATTATCTACTGTCGTATTACATACCTAGTATCGACAAAGTGTTTATTATTTTTGTAGTTACAACAGTATCTTAAATAAAAGTAATCCATATGAACAAAAAATAGGAAGGTATTCAACTACAAAACAGGATAAACAAATTGCATAAGTTTTTGTATCAACAGTATCGATCTTGGTGTCATTCATTAAAGTGTTTTTATAACCACTAGTAGTTTTCATCATCCCAAAATCTGTTCGCCCTAGCATCCGTTAATTATCTGAATCAGTTGTGGATCGATAGTCACTAATTTAACAAGATCTCCAACAACTCTGAAAGATTCGAAGGATGAACAAAAACTGCAAATAACTGTAACAAGGGTTAAGAGAGTATAATTACTCTGACAAAGAAAATGCATATTGTTAGTTTAGTTAAGAATATTACACAAGAAATAAACGTACGCTGCATCATACATTCAGAAACTATTAAAAATGAAACGGGTTACTGAATAATAAAAGTAGTATATATGAATACATAAAAATGAGTTGAGTGGGAAAAGACGGATGATGCAAATGAGGTTAACATTTATTCTTTTCTAAATTCATTTGTTCTTGTCTCAATATTCTCCAATTATACCAATGAGTTGATCATTTTAAACTTTGTTTTTCCTAACTATCCTAATAGCGTATGAATATTCAATTTACAAGTTACGAATATGAATCCGATTATGTGGAGAAGGCTTATTCACTTGCTAACATGTTACTAGCCAATGGGTTAGCTTACAAAAGTCCGTAAGTTGCTTTGACTTTAATATATTGCCAAATAATTTATAATTTAGTCATTGTTTTGGATGAGGAATAATTTCTAAACAAAATTAAACAAAAGTATTTCACACTAACGACCTTAGTCTTCTTATGACCCAATCAGAAAGCAATGCCTAGTTATAAAACAATGAACAATAAAATGAAATAAGTCTGCAGTTAAGTAGTGAACTTGACACGATCAGGAGTCCGTGAGTTGAATTTATGACCCTATAGGGTCTTTTTTACCAAGTGACATTAAATATAATTCGAAAAACGTTAGAGTTAGATAATAAGAATTAAACCAGTGTTATTATGTACTGGGATTACGAATTAAGCTTAGGATACTTGTCAACAACTGTCATGAACTTTAATTCAATGTGTCATTAACACACTTTGTTTTATAAGCTTAAAAGCCATTGGTTTGAAGTTCAGAGTTGGGAGTTGAAGTACAGGAATATTATCTAGAGACACAAACACTCTTAACTATGCACTGAATCACAAAAAGTACTTTACTGCACAATCTACGTCAGGAACAGGTTTTTCTTGTAATTAGAATTGAGCACTATATCACATTCATTGTATAGTTGTATAGTAGCTATTTTTTCTTATCAATTTCAAGTATTTTATTAATCAACTATTGCCAATTTTTATTTGAATTCAATGGTTGAGATCATGAGTCAATTGAAGCTAAACCATCATGGAAAACCTAGAAGCACTGGACGGCCGTTTCATCCTATTGTGGGACTCCTCAGCGCACGTGGGACCGATAGGTCCTGGGTCCGAATCTCGCGGGGTGGGATCGTGGATATGCACTGCTGAGTAGTCTCATAATAGGACGAAACGGCCGTCCACTGCTTCCATCTTTTCCACAGTGGTCTAGCTTCAATTGACTCATGATCTTAACCATTGAAATTACTATAATATTAACAAAAACCCTTCCGATAATGATTTTTATTTAGTTAATTCCAATATACAAGCTAACTAGCACTGTGCCTTTAGTTGTGCGAAAGATATATGTGGTTTTATCTTGATTCTGATTAGTTTATTCAGAGTTGATAGTATAATATAATTTTACCAAAAATCTTCCTGTATAGTATTTGTAAAGGTTTGTATTTTCTCGTTGATGATATTGATGATTGTATCTGATATATCTCTATTACGATGTCTATATCCAGAGCCAATAACCTCACTGTTACAGAAAATTGGAAAACGCAAACCCTTACAAACAAAACGTATAGCTGTTGCATAAGCTAGTGGCCATCCCGACTCAGTATCTCAGTAGATAAAGCGTCCGTATTTGATGGAATACACAGTGGACTCGAGTATCGATGTGAAAATTAACATGGATTCATTTACATTTAACTAAAAAGTCCCATCTGGGATGAAACGCATCGTAGATTCCATCCTTAGTCAACATTTGACTTTTCTCAGACGTTTTGATTTGAGATAGACACACGTAGATACCTGGATTTGTTACGTATGATATCTGATCATTGGACTTTGAGAATTTATAATGGTCGGTTGACTGCTCGCTTGTATTTCTGCACGTTCTGGTTAACTTATCACAAGGCCTAGGTCACAGGAGTCGGTTTTCTGACTGGTGGTTTTATTAAGTGATAATTGACAGGGGCAAACGTCATAATACCCTTAGGTATTCTAACCTGTATTGCCCATCGTTTCGTTCATAGACGTCAACACTATTCATTTATTCCAAACTTATCTTTTTTATAACTCCACTGTTTTCACCATTTAATTACTGATTTGTGGTAATCCAACAACATATAGGATGCACTATGTATTGTAGTGTTATTAAGTTATTTGATCAAGTACGGTAAGGTAAATAGTAGAATGTACTTTCACTGTATAATCCATTGTTATACTGGTTATCTATTTCATTTTTGTGTTATTGTATTTTTGTTTTCAGTGATGGACTGACTTGTATGTCGACAGCAAACAACAATGATGTGAATTTTTCGAATCAAAATATTATCCTATTAAAAAGTGATAAGTCAACTTTATATTTAACCAGGTAAATAACTTAAACAATTAATTTTTTTAACACTTTTTTATAATTAGGCTTGCTTATCTATACTTCATCATATTGTTACTAGGACCTCTTTTATGTGTCAGTCAGTAACAACGTAGAACTTCGTACTTACGTACATCAGCTCGAGTCGCCATACCACATTAGTACAGAGATGCAGTTGTCGGTTCAAATCCCGTAGTGGTAGAGGTAGTAAAAGTATAAGCAGTAATAGGAAAGATTAGGGTTTGGAGATGTTATTGAAAGAGTATATATGTAGCTTGCTTTTTTTATAATGCATAGTTTTCTTTTTAACTCACAGGGATATAGCGGCGGCAATTTCTCGTTACGAAAAATACCATTTCGATAGGATACATTATGTGGTATGTAATATATTTGTTATATACGCACGTATTTATGTACTAATGGTTTTGTCACTATGCAACAAAAGATTAATTCAGTGGTAAAATTCATTTTTCCTCGGTCATTATATTTACAATCATAAGTATAACTTGGAGGTTCGAAAGTTGCTGAAAATAAACATTTCGTCATCAGACAGCTCTCTCCCTCACTCTGGTTTCATGTGTCCAACAAATGATTACCTTTTATATTTTATTTTTATAATCAATGGACAATCGACCAAAGTAGGTTTTATTCACCATTAATTAATATCACTTGCGATACCCTTTAATGATGTCATAAATACTCATTCATGAGGAGTTACATAATAGGACGAAACAGCTGTTTAGCACTCCATAGTTTTCAATGATACCTCAATTGAGATTAATCTGTGACGAATAGAACCTACAAATTTGATGAATCTTCACAAAACCTGTACAGCTGGTTAACCGGAGCACCTAAATTTTTGGTAGTGTTCAATGGCTTTCTGACATGACTACTTGATGTGGCTAAAAGACACTCACATATTAATCCATAAGTTCGATCACCACTTCACCTAATTTGCTTCATGTGGTCGGATGGCATTACTATCCCATGCCCAAACACTATGTTGCTGAAGTTTAAGTGCGTAAGTCTGAATTTGGTTAATAACTTAAATTTCAAGATTATTTCACTATTATATTACATGTGAATAGCTCATACTCTCTGTTAATTGTGTGTTCATCTTCTCTTATATTTTGGATATAATTTTCCGATTCTTGACTATAGTTGTGTTTCTCTACTTTATGACTCCAGTTAACTCAGTTGACTACTGAGAATTCTCGTAGCAGCATTTGTCATTAAAAGGGCGTACTAATGAAGTCCTTGAACCTTGTAAAGGTTATCCATTCCAGTACTATTTTTCAAGTTAAGGCTTATGGTGAACTATCGTCAGAACTATCAGTCTCATAATGTTGTTCATCAGGGTTACCCGATACCCTCCTTCTTAGTTAATTTCACTATAAATGGTCTAGAAATCACACTTCATGAATTCCACTTGTTGACTGGAAATACTCAGATGGTATGGTCTTATTTAGTGAAGACGTTTACATAGTTCTTAGTCTTCTGGATACTTTAGGTAGCAATCCAAGCGTGTTTATTGTGAGTTTCTCTCCTTCTAAATTTGAAGTTTGTTTCAGTACTGGTCTGGCTAGAATAGTTGAATCCACTAACCACTTCATTTACGTATCATTAGTCACTGCCTACATCAACAGGCGATATTGTGATGTGACGTTTTGGCTGGCAGATGTTTCAATGTCATGCTAAAACGCCAAGTAAAATGGCTCTTTTTGTGATTTTTATTATGTTTTCTGTAATCCAAATTATTCTTGTTATATTATCTATTAGCCAGCATAATCCTGTTTATTACTTTATTTAAAGGTTGAAATCGGACAGCGTTTACACTTTCAACAACTCAATTATGTTCTCCTAAAAATTGGTTATAATTGGCCAGTTTTGTAAGTATCAATGTTTTTGTATTCAAATGAATTTTCTTCAATGTAGAAGCTGCGGTTGGTTTCAGATATGTGGATGTGTTTCACTTCTTATTCTATTGAAGTTGATCAGCATACTGAGAATTATATAACGGAAAAATTGACTAATTCTGGGTGGTCATTCAGTCCAAATATCCAACTATTAGGTGGTTAAAAGTAGTCAGCAGGATACACTGTTCTTAGGTTCCGTACCACCTGTCGCTTGTCATCAATGTATCTACAGTCTTAAGAGCATTGATGCTCCCCATATCATTTTGAACTACATCGCTTAATCTTAAAATCTGAGACGTTACGAATGAAAGATTCCGGCGCCGAACGACCTCCTGTAGGAATCAGATAGTTGCAATTTCTGTGCAACTGAGTAGTGACCAATATCATGTTTGTCCGATTTGATGATTACCAGAAATAAAATGTGCTTGGATGATTCCGAGTTGATAGATGTTGCATTTTAATAAATGTGGTTTATTCAACGAATAAGTAAGGTATTAGTAATGATAATGACTGATTAATCCTAAGTTCATTTCTATATAAACCTTGTTAATGTCAATTAGTGGTTGAATTATAAATCAAACATTTTATCCCATTGCTCGGTGGTGTAGTAAATTTTCTGGTAATGTGTTAGTATAAAAGAGCGCTTAAAATAATTTTTGGGAATTTTCAACCAATTCCTGACCAGTCACAAAACAGCTTTTGTAAATGGATAGTTTATGTAAAAGAAAATAATAACATTACAGAGCGTAAGTAGATTTTACGTAGTTATTAAATATATTGAACTGGAACACTGGTTATTGAGCTGATGAGTTATAGTCGCGGTCAACTGCGTTAAAGAATTCGAATAAACTAATCCGTCGATATCTATGTGTTTAATTCGTTTTCTTTGTTCTCATTGTTACTGTCTTAATTCTTCAGATTACCTGAACACAACATTTTACTCGACTGGGTGTCAGCAGATTAAGTTAGTCAAATTCTTTAATAAGGACAAAAACAGACTCGGTTTGACATCCAGTGTTCCATCTACTTCTAATGATGTAGTTTTTAACAGCATCCCTAAATTTATATATGGGTCTGAATATGGGAATACCCTTTCGATGTGGTCCGAGTGTTTGGAAATATGTTCAGTATAGTATTCTGTAGGCAGGTGGATACTTGGAAGACTCGCTTGTTGATGTGAACTTGCAAACAACGAACATGCATGCTACGTTGACTTGATTATACGGAAGGTACTTCGAGAATTTAGACTCAAGGGGACAGTAACACGTCCGAGATGTTCGGGGACTCAGCTTCACTGTTTAGTATTCTACATAAATGTCTTGATATAATATAAAGTGGAGCTGGTGATTACGGTACGCCAGCATCTGATGTCAACCTTAAGTGTGAATATCTCAATTTACGTTCCTTGATGGATAATCAGTTGAAATGTTTAGTGTTCATCAACTCACTTCAGTTACCACAGATCGTTTAAAAATTTGTCTAGAGTAATGTTTCCAAAAAATATTCATCACTGGTTCTGATTGACACAAAGCCTAAATAGATTCGAGTTTCCTACCAACTACCTTCAAACACCACTTAATATTTCAACGTAGAACATGTAATATCAAGTCACTTAGATTTGTTGATCGCTTTGCAACTTAATTTTTAGAATTGGATCAGCACTTAATGATTAGACAAACATAACAATAGTCATTATTTAGTGATTGTAGATTAGATTATATGTTTTTTAACTTACTACATACAACCAGTCTTTGGTATCTTATTTTTCAATCATTAATTAGAATAAAATGTAAGCTTACAGAGAACGTCTCTAATTGTTCACTTCCAAGTAGTATAATTAAGTCACAGAAAATTAACGTTTCTACTTAGTCAAAGTAAAGTCGCTTGTTTTTGTTTTGCTCTTAGATCTATGGTCGGTGATGATGTTGATGATAATACTGATAATGATCAGTGTAGTCAATGTGCTCGTAATCTTTTACATATTCCATTCGGTCGAATTATGGGAATGAGTACTAGAAAAGGTGAAGGTTTATTTCTATTGGATATTTTAAATAATGCTCAACAATTTATGCTGAATCGAATGAAATCTTCCCAAAGTAAGCAAACAATCATCTGTGTTTATACATTCAAACTATACTTTTATTTTTAGTCTTCGTAAATAGGAAAAAATATATACCGTTGTAGCAATGTAATCGTCTTACCCACTTATCACTAAGTTAGTTACAATCATATTAACACGACAGTATAATTTACTAGATGAATACCAAATTAATTGAAACAATGTAGTGATATTGACAATAACAAAGATTAAACATCCATTTCTCCTTCAAATGCTTATGACTTACTTGCAATATCGAGGCTGTTCACACAGAATGCACATATACCAGAAGAGACTAATCAATTGCAGTCTTAAAATATCAATGGGAAGATTCAAACAACTAATAAATATGGATCGAAATTCACCCAATTGCACAAATCAGTAGCTTAGTGGATAACACGATGGCATTTGAAGCGAAAGGTACTGCGTTCCAGTTCTAGAGTGAACATTAACTCTGAGTTGCAGGTAAATTTATTCCCAAATAGGATCAAACGCGCGTCCTGAATCCCACTGTTAGCCACCATTCATCTCTATTTCAAATTGAAATATGGCTTGAAAAGAAAGCGTGAGAAGATATACATAAAAGGATATCGTGACTCAAGACCTAGAGCAACATAATAAGTGTGTCCATCTATCAACTGAATGGTTCTAAGCCATTTAACTCGATGTTTCCAATCACCAATTTTCATGTACCCCTTAAATTGATGGTTTACACCTACGTACATATCTTATGAATTCTTGGACTGATTTGATTTGTTACTCACAGCTTTCTACTAACTTCTACACTATCACTGGTAGTGGTTAGACATACATACCATTGTTAGTAAAGTATTATTAAACAAAGTTATTCGCTAGTATATGTGACATTATCTTTCAATTATTGATTTAAGTGGTTAGGTTTCATTGCAAACTGTTGTATAAACCCAAGATAACTCATGGAATAAGTTTCTTCCCCCTCCCCTCCTAATTGTTAAACAGTATCTTTAACAGTGAAAACATTCAATTTTAAGTAGTATGCCGCAATTACACTTCCATTCTCGTCGGAAACTTCTCATCAACAGTATTATATTAAAAAGTTTTTCTAATTTAAACATGACACAATTATTCATTGTTTCCTTGTTTTCACTGATTGTTTAATTAATTTCGGCTCTAATGAAATGATGTTATAGGTTAGGATGAATGCTTAATGATGAACCAGTTTAGAGTTAATAAAACAAATATGAGTAGAATGTTAATCGGTAGATGAATGAATCAACAAGATTTGATCGTGTGATAATTTCTAATGTGGCTGGATGATAATTGTCTTAAACTCTTAGATTAACTGACATACTTCTATACAAAGTACTTTTGTAAAGTTGATTTGATATTATAAGTAACTGACGAAAATCCCCTTTTTATACGTCACTCATTCTCCAATAAAATTAAAATCGAAATGTTTAGGGCCCTTATAATTCTTCTCAATCATATTAAAAGGCTATAATGTTATTTGTTCATTGCAGTAATGTTTAATTAGAATACCGAATTTGTACAACTTGTACAGTGATTTATGGTAAATTTCAGCTCGTCAGAAAGCAGTAAATATGATTAAATGAATGAACTATCTTATGAAATTATAGAATTTGCTTTGAATATTTTGAATGATTGTTGGACATCTCCAAGTTGATTGTAGGTTTGTAACTGTTATAGTTTAAGGTTAAGATTCGAGATGAGTTAAAACATATCCTGACTCTAACGCTAACATCAAACACTAATCCTAAACTGGAACCGCAATTCTAATCCTAAATCCATACCCCGAACCCTAATCTTATGTCCTGATCCTAACTCTTCAACACCAAACTCTAATTCTAATTCCAGCCTAACCTTAAATCAATATCTTTCTGTATCATCAATTCAGTACAAGCTTTACTCAGTGTAAGAAATGTGAACTCGTTCAGTGTAACAATTATATTCTGTGTATCAATTCAGGTGAACTGGATTCAATGTGGTTTTATCGTAAGCCTATGCATTTCCACCTATATGTATGTGATTTAAACGTGTGTGTAAAAATTAGTATAGAAGTATTCTTGTTTCGGTCACGTAATGATTACGTAATTTTAGGGACTTGTTTGGAGAGTCAAGAAACCTTCATGGCACCAGTCTTCTGTGTTTTAACTTCACGTTATGAGAATTGTAATGGATCTTGTTTCCTCGGTATAAACATTAAGGTCGAGAAATCGCAGTGTTTCCCGATTATCACGTAAAGCAGTGAGACTGCGTACTCAACAAAGTGGATACTTACATAGCACAAAAGGCTCTCCAAATATAACAGTGGCGACACATCCGACCACCCACTCACAAATGTGCTGATGAATTCATTTATACATTTATTACAAATCCCAACCTTAGTTCTAACTTAAACAAAAACTGCAATATCATTCCATCTCATAAATCTCTTACACTTACACCTATACAGTCATTTCATTCTTGCGTTCACATTGATGAGTGTTGTCCTCACCAATCCACCGTGTTGTAAGTGCCTAATAATATTTGTCCCCATTGAAAATTAGTCATTATACGATCGATAGTCAACATCCTCATTTTATTTTATAATAGTCTCTCTAGATGTCCTGGTTTCCACTACTAGTCATCATCCATCTCTGCTTATTAGTTCTTTATTGTTTTGTTTGATTTTTTTTCTTTCCCTTCGTTAGATACACGAATAACTCAAAATGAATCAGTTAATCCACAATTGTTATGTCAAAATGAAATAGCTGATCATTTAGGTGTAACATGTTTGGTAACAACAATGTTTGCTTATCCACGTCAAAAACCAATTAATTTACAGACATTCCTTGGTTTACCAGTGACATCATCATCAACAACATGAAAATAGTCATTTGTTGAAATCGTCAGCTGTAAGTGAATTATGCGGATTAACTCTACAATATTGTCATGCAAGACTATGCAGGTATGTATTCGAAAATAAATTTGGTGTAATTGACTAATTATATTATTATTACTTCGACTTCCTTGCCTTTTATTTAAAGCCTAGAATCTCGTTCAATTTCCTCCGGTCTATTCCCATTCAAGGTTAATAGCAGTGATCCAACATCAATTGTGTTTGACATGGATCACCTTATTCATGAATTTGATCAATTTAAAGAGTGGCCTTCAACAACAATTAATGAAAAATCTTTTGTAAAACTGGCTGATCAGTTGTGCAGGTCAGGTTGCTTTTAAATGTTATCTAGTTGATAGTCAAAGCTGACAATGTAAACAATATTATCATTAACTATATTTTAAAGTAGCATACCACAAGACTGAATATGATACGTGTGTATGTGATTAGTGGTATTCCTCATTTTCACTTTCGAAAATCTAACAGCTGTGTAGTTAGGGTCTCTGATACCTTGATTTCATTGTAACAAAACTATGAAGCTGTTAAATTGTTATTACAATGATGATTAATTGATCGCTATAACCTTTGTTCGTAGAATCCTTACAAATGCTCATAGGACTTATCTGTTATCCATCATCCCTTCTCAACTGTATACCTCTTGTCAAACGAACATGATAACAACGAATGCACGATAAACTTAACAGTTGTTTGTGCATATACAGTCATCCTATCCATTGTGCTGCTCACTTCGATTTCTTACAATTTACCTTTATACCAGCTAACGTCTCGTTCAAAGTAGGCGATTGTCAGGCATATGTAACACATGTTCCGAACACCTCGGTCGATAGAGATTCGCAATATTATCAGCCTATATTCCATTTCCGTCTACTACCCTACACCTAACCTTAAGATTCCTCAGTTTATCATCCCATGATTCATGCCCAATGATCCGAAGACACTTATAATTAAAATCCTCTAACCTACTTAAGCAAACTAATGGACTGTGAAAATGTTAGGGCAGATTCAAAGACCCATCAGTTCTTTATTATTTGCTAGGTTAATTGTTTGACTAGATACTATTCATTTTGATTTCTATTATCACCTATCCTTTATTGATAGATTTTCTACTGTGCTCCATACTGCTTATTCAAAATACGAGCCACATTACGTACTACAATATGCATTACAACTTACGTAAGTCTTCTATATCTCATACATCAAAATATATCTATTTTTTAAAGTATATTTTAAAATAGATAGAATGGGTTGAATGTGGTTAGCAGTAGACCTCAGAACGTGTGTTTCTACCTATCTGGGACTGGTCATTTGGACACACCTGCATACCAATGTTGATGCTTACGCAGGACTTAAAACCAATGCATTTCGCGTTACCCAGTTCGCGGTGTTGATGTTGATCGACAGTTCGAGGCCGTCAACATATATGTCAGGTTCTGCGTTGTTTATGACCAACTGACTGACTGAATATTCTGTTACGTTAAATACGGCAAAAGCTTTCAAGCAAAAGACCGTTTGATTTCGCTCTGTGTACACTATCGAGGTACTATAGTAGATTTGTCTAACCCATACAGTTGTTCGCTTCATTCAGTGTGCATGAAAAAGTTATCAATGATCAGCTTTTTTTTGTCAACAATAATTCCTTTTATAAGCAAAGATGGATAGTGGCTAGCAGTGGAATCCTGGACGCGCGTTTCGTCCTGTTTGGGACTCGTCAGCTGGATGTACCTGCATCTCAGAGTTGATGTTCACTCTGGGACTCGAACTCAGTACCGTTCGCTTCAAACGCCATCGCGTTATCCACTTAGCTACTGAGTCCTGATAGCCACTTGCTTGTGCAATGGGTTGAAGTTTAATTCACTTGATATTGTTTTTATTTGAATCTTCCCATTGATGTTTTTTTTTGGACTGAAATTGATCAGTCTCTTATTGGCATATGTGCATACTGTGCGTATGCCTCGATATTGCCTTAATTTACAAGCATTATAAGCAAAGATGGATAGTGGCTAGCAGTGGAATCCAGGACGCGCGTTTCGTCCTGTTTGGGACTCGTCAGCTGGATGTACCTGCATCTCAGAGTTGATGTTCACTCTGGGACTCGAACTCAGTCCCAAACAGGACGAAACGCGCGTCCTGGATTCCACTGCTAGCCACTATCCATCTTTGCTTATAATGCTTGTAAATTAAGGCAATATCGAGGCATACGCACAGTATGCACATATGCCAATAAGAGACTGATCAATTTCAGTCCAAAAAAAAACATCAATGGGAAGATTCAAATAAAAACAATATCAAGTGAATAATTCCTTTTATTTATGAGTTACATACTTTGTGAATTGGTCTCAGTTGAGTTATCACTGAAAATCATGGAAACTGGATGGCTTTTTAGTCTTAGTATGAGACTTCTTAACGCCGTACATCTATAGCTCCGTCAGTTGTCTAACCTATACTAAGATAAAACACTTGTCTATTTCCCTCTGATTTTCAACAATACTATAATAAAGGCTAGTCTGTGACTAATACAACCTCTAATTTTAACTAATCTTCACAAACCTTCAACTAAATTTTGTTTACTGTTTTTGTCCATATTCCATACCATTTTTCTACAGCTCTGATGTAAACTCAGCTTGGAAGCATTTACCTGTTTTGCAATGCACAACTAAAGAAGATCAACTAGTAAGTGTGATCGATATCTGTTTAATTCTTCTTTTGCTATGTTCTTTACTCCCTCTCTAATGGAACTGTTTTAGAACTAAGGAAACAATTAACTTGGTATAAAAAACATTAGTGACATAACAGAGCTCGTTAAATTGTGACAATTTTCTCATGAAATTAAAATCTAAGCCATCAAATGAATAAATTTCTGAAGACGAAACTCCTAATCGGTTGGCAAAATTTATGCAGGTTATACTTGTCACAAATTGTTTTCACATAGAGTATCACTGAAAATCAGGAAATACTAAACATCTGTTTCATCATAGTTAGGAACATTTCGTCAGTACACATCCAAGACTCTTTCACAGGTCAAATTCAGAACTTTCACTTCTCGTAGCGAAATATTAACCATTAGGTTGGCGTCCAACGTTGCACTCTCAACTTTAATCAATTCGTGATAAAGCGTTGACAATCAATCAATATGATTGTTGACAACTGTTTCGGTCTTGACATGTGTCTGAACCTGTACTAGTCATCATTAAACATATATTTAATATCAGTATAGGGTTGTGAAGATTGTTGACTTCAGATTGATATCATAAATCGACTAATGTTAGACCACCATTGAAAACGTGGAAGCTCTGGATGGCCGTTTTCTCCTAGTATGGGACTGGTGAGCAGTGCACATCCACGATCCCGTACACAGGACACGAATCCAGGACCTTCGATCTCTCACGCAAACACTGAACCGACATCTAACGGTGTTAATGTCTGACTTCCACAAATCCACGATATTACGCGGCCGTTCATGATTGTCGTCAGTGAGTAACTGTCTCACAACAGATACAGTTGAACTACACTGCTCATGGATTCTCATTAAATTTCCAGGAAATCCATCTTGAAGTTAGTCACTAGTGAGTACATAATAATTTAATAGTAAAATAATCGACTAGAATAAAATAACTTGTTCAAATGTTTTCAAAAGGATAGAAATGAATATCAATAGAATAATCAATTTAATTCTTTATCATTGTTAGACAAATCATTAAATTTTGGTAATCAGCAGAGAAATCTCCAATACTGGTAGTTTATTTCATATTGTATGAAATTAGTTCATTTCGTTCATATACTGTTTGCCATGTCGATCGAATACGTAAGACTGTAGCAACGGTAGAACGTCACTATTGAAACAAATCGAACAAAACTTACATTGGTACACTGCCTCATAGTAATTCTGTTCAATCGGCTCAAAGTCATAGTCTGTAAGAGTTAGAAAATATCCAGTGCTTATGCATACTTAATCAAATTCATCTTCATTATGTAATTGACATATTTATATTTATTTAAACACATAAACATTGATACAAGGAGCCACCAAGTAGATATGCGCCACATGAATCATTAGATTTGTGTGAGGACTGGGATACTGCTCAGGTGCCAAAACCGAAGCGGGTGGTTTTCTTAGGGGATCACACTCAGAGCCTTCGACCTAGAGGTCTGATCCACAAGACAGTAGAGCAACGTAAAGAGATACAGTCCCATGGTAGCCGGTAGTCAACAAGTGGTTCATAAGCCATTTATTCCTTAAGGATCCTGGAACCCATGTGACCATTGGTTTGGAAATAGGGTGTTCCAAATTCCCTTGGTGGATCCTCCATATCCACCGACCCGATTAAAGCGCCGGACATTTGTTTATCGTCCTCTCAATTTCGCAAACAGTAATGTCGCGATAAGGTAGTAAATAGGACAGTGGGTGTATGCACGTGGCCATGGGAGAGCATTTCGCGATGGAGAGCTGACTCTCCCACTTTCTACCGTACCAGGACATTTGGAGGCATGATTGACATATTAATCAAAGCGATGCTGTAACTAGTCGCATATACTCATTTACGAATGTATAAATGTATTTAGATCACTTCGGAAAATAGTTTATTATTAAAAATACTTAAATTCCTGATCAACCGTTAGGGTAACAACTGAAATACAAAATGTTTTAATCATCTACTGACGTTAGTAGGTCATAAGTCTCAACACTCCTCTTCATTTGCTTCAGTTTTAACAACCAGTAAGTATAATTAACTCTCATGTATCTCAGAAAGCCACAAATATATTAACCGTGTACTTAAGTTACATGCTGAGATTCCTTTTCATTGTCACAACAGTGATTCGTCACACTAAGGTGATTATTTAGAGTATTCTGAACAGTACGAATATTTTTTGCTAACCATAATATAATATATGTGGAAAAAGGTAATGATATCTGAAACATAATTTTTTGATTGAGATCATGAACCGATTGATGTTAGACCACCACCTTTGGAAACCTGGAAGGACTGGATGGCCGTTTCGTCCTATTATGGGACTCCTCAGCAGTGCGCATCCACGATCGCGCACGCGGGATACCATGAGCTTAGTCGTATAAGTATTGAAATTAGATGTTGTGAATAATTTCGCAATATGTGAAGGATTTAATATGATTCTAAGATAAAAATGGTAATTATATTTGAAAACTTTATATCTGTAACCGCCTATCATTTGATATAACAATACAAACTTACGAATTAATAACTGGTTGATTATGTATAAAATGTAGGATGGGGTTGTTTAATATCGCTTTCAATGTTCAATAATTGTATTGTATCTAGCGCTGTTGACCATTTTATTTCTTAGATTTAGTGAGTGTGTATGCTGAATATTTTCACTAAATGTTTCAAGCATTTGAAATTATGAACATGTCAGTGTTTTGCAACTCAAGATACTGGATGAAAAGCATAAATAAAGTTAAGCGTTGAAGTGAAGTCTTCAGTTAAAATTGACTCTTTCTTATGTATCAGTTGATCGACTAAAAGAACAGAAAAAGATAACACATCAATTAAGTATTTAAATCATTTTGAGAACAGCCTTAACTTCAATGACCTATTTGTCTTCCTTAAATAAGTGTAATAGATTGTTCTAAATCGTAGTTTGCTTTGTTAAATTATAATTAACTTTGGTTCTTCTCATTATATATTTACTGACTTTACTTACACCTGTTACTCCTCGTGGAGGAGCATAGGCCGCCCACCAGCACTCATTATATATATATATATATATATATATATATATATATATCTTGTCTTTGTCTACTTCTTCAGATACGTCTGTTCATCTTTCTAGCGTCTAGAAATGTACTTGCTTCATGTTTACGTTTAATGGGAATCAAACCGTTGAGTGCGATATAACAGTGATTATTATGATTATGATTATGAAAAACGAATCCTTTCATGCTTGAGTTCATATATCAGTGTATAATACAGATTGATTAAACAAAATCCACTCTTTCTTTACTTACATTTTTCCCTTTTTTATGTACAATTGTCATTTATTATTTATGATAAATTATTTTTGTCAATTGTATGTATTTTACTAGTTGTCATTGGACTTTTACCAAACAACTGGGGTCAACAGATTACTTATGGTACACTGTGTAGAATTCTCAGTACAAATTATTTCAACATGTTTCTTTTTCTTATTTCTTGATCGATCCTTGCGATAAATATTGAGTGGTTCCCAATTAAATGTTAGCAGTTCAAGACTCGATATCTGAATAATGTATATTCTTTACGATGTATATTGCCAGCAACCACGTTGTCTCTGATTGGGCTCTTTTGTAACTTGTGCAGTGAAATGTGCGTAAACTTTAGACAAACGCACCTTAATAGGTTGTGAGTTTGATAGGCATAATGATTTGTCAAAACAAACAAGCGAAAAGATAACTTGTTGAAATATCCAGGTGGCAGGAACAGGTAGCCCAGGCGGTTTTCAGTTGCGCACCGCGAAACTATCATCTAGAGGTCCCTGAAAAGAAAACTGGGCTAGTAGTATTCCTGACGAACTGTAAGCGTGTCTACTGAGTGCAAGAAACAACTCCCTAGGGTAGGTCATACACAATATTTTCGTGAGCAACTGATGTATTATCTTCGTTCCTTAAAGGTCTTACCTCTAAAGATAGAAGTCTGTCATTCAAGGTAAAGTGTACTATATTTAGAAATCGTGTTTTCTGACCTTTTTCTGTTGTGGAAAAGTATCATCGATGTAGATGAAGGTTGTATACTCTAGTCACGACCCACTACAGTCAGCAGTACCATTACACTCTCGGACCTTCATTTACTGCTTTCAGTCTTGCTGTATGGCAATGCCTAAAGGAACAATCGTTACACTCAACACAGTTCAAATAAGTCATTAAGATAACCATGCCTGAATATTAAATACTATCTGATTGTCTGATTCTCATTGTTGTGTTCAATTTTATTACCAACAAATTTTGAATGAAGGAATTTAGGCATTGTATTCTTTATAAGTTGGTTAACTGAATGCCATTTTAATTTTTAGCATTTTCCATTACATAACGCGATTATAAACTGAGAATTTTCGCTTGCGGCTACATCCATCGAATATATTAAACCAAATATTGATCATAATATCTTGTAATTGATCTCAGAGTTTTTTATTCGTCTGGTTTGTACAGTTGTCGTTGCTTGATGTATAGCTGAATGATATACTGCATAGTTGATAGTTGAACGAATTAAGCATTTGATTTTCAACAACGTTGTTATGTAGTCCAACCCTTGCCTACTTTAATACTCACACAATTAAGCAATCGGTCAATATGTAATGAACGGAAACATAGATGGGGACTAACAAATGTATTTTAATAAAATTACAGAGTTATTTTCTAAAATATTGAAACCATACGTTTAATCCGTTATTTGAAAATTTTCCAGTAATTGTCTCAGACTTTATTGTTCCTTCATTTTTACACCCATTACTATCTGTTCCCATGCTCTTTTGTTTGATGTTCCCAACCTTCTACTGGCAGGTTTTCCACTTCCCATTGGTGTTACATGCTACTTATATCTGTCGACATACATATATAGTTAAGTTTAATTATAGTGGCAAACCAATCATGAGCGACTCAGCCATTTCAAGGTTACGGGGCATTTTACCAGCCACATCACTAATTTTAGTGAAAAACACATTAAGCTTATTACTTTACGTTAGATTATTGAGGAATTCACTGACGTGTGATTGTGAATGTTAACAAGTTGTAAGAAAATGCAAAACACTATGGAATGAAGTGAAATTTCATTGGGATATCTATTTATAAAAACACGTGCCTAGGAAAAAGTCTTTTTTCTCGTCTATAGTCAAGACTTGAACGAGTAATGCTTCTTATAATGCCCTGAGCTATAGGATTCCAAATAATTCCCATAGCTGCCTTGATAAATATGTAAGAACGAATTTTGCAGCTTATCTTTGAACAATCGGATTTCATAGTGTATAGCTTTGTCTAGCAATTATTAATTTCGCGATGATGGATAGTGGCTAGCAATGGAATCCATGACGCGCGTTTCGTCCATCATTGCTTACAAATAGCTTGTGAATTAAGGCAATATCGAGGCATACGCACCGTATGAACGTATGCCGATAACAGACTGATCAATTGCAGTCTTAAACCTCAATGGGAAGATACAAGCCAAATAATACCAAGTGAATTGAAATTCACACCATTGCACAAGCCAGTGGTTATCAGGACTCAGTAGCTGAGCGGATAACGCGTTGTCGTTTGGAGCGAGTGGTACTGGGTTCGAGTCCCGGAGTGAACATCAACTCAGATGCAGGTGCGTCCAGCTGACGAGTCCCAAATAGGACGAAACGCGCGTCCTGGATTCCACTGCTAGCCACTATCCATCATTGCTTACATAATTATTAATTTCCTCTAAAACTAATAGTTATAATAAGATTATATAATTACAATATGAAAGGCATTTAACATGATCTTGTGTATTGTTTGTAATAATTCAAGTACTCTCAAAGAACGATACAATCGATGTTATATGGATAAACATCTTTATCAAAGAATTTTTCGATAGTACAACAGGAGAAACTGTAATCAACTTCATAAAGATTATATAAATTCTTTCATTTTTATAAATGTAGACTATTTATTTTATATTAACGTTTTCTGATTGATTAAATTATTTTTATTGTCATTTTAAAAATTCTGTCAACTTTTAATCAACAATTAGTCTTTTGTTAAAATTCATTGGGTGGTGACCGATGTCATGTATGTCAGGTCTTTCTTAGTGCAGATCGAATCCTTGTCGACCAAGTTGCAATGTGGCCATCAGTCTAGGTGACTCGACATTGCATGCACTATATTGAGATAAAATGGTTGTCGGAGATAGTCAAAACAAAACTCTGGACCCAGGTTCCGTGCTACTTGGCACTCGTCAGCAAGTTGTACCTGTAATCTTGAGAGAACTGATGCTCCCTGACGAATCTACCCAGCTTCACAGTCAGAGACATTACCACTGGGCTATCTAGGCCGCGACTGAGCACCTGTAGGACTGAAATGTATTTACAAGCTAGGTGACACGGGATCGAATCCAAGTAGCACGAAACTTGGATCCAGGGTTTCCTGTTGACTATCTCCAACCACCATCTTATCTCAAAAGTTATCTCTTTACTCATTGTTAATCGATAGTTCAATTCGGTTCATGTATAATATAACCATAATTTATGACTATTCACATACACACACATGTACATAGTCAATCAAAAAAGTGTGGTTTCATTGTAAATAAATGTCTGTCTTACTTTCCATTTGTTTGGCTTGTTTGTTTTCAAAATTATATCTTAAGTTCTTGAAAAAAACCACCGAAAAATCCTTCCTTCTCATATAGTTTAGTTATTTTCATTTAGACTAATCTCGCTTCGTCATTATGGTTCGGTTCTTTCTCGTTTAACATATCAAATTCTATGTTTCTATAAATTGTTAAACAAATGACGGAGAATGAATAGGGAAAGACTTGTTAGCCAAGAGAATGTGGGAAAGAGTATGAAACAAGTACTAAATAAAAAGACGACATTTTACGTCTCAAACAAAAAACAATAAGCGATTTATCTAATCATCTGACTTCTAACTGACTTTTTATGATTCATATCTTGTTGTCAATGCTATTACTGCTACTAGTAATACTACTATTATTATTATTGATACCAATAGTTAGTTGATTCATGACTAAAAGTCTACTACGATTAATACTTTCGTCAAAATAAATAAAAATAGATCTTGAAAAGTTGAATTCATGAGTTGATCTAAGCTAGACCACCATTGAAAACCTAGAAGCAATGGACAAACGTTTCATCAGATTATGAGAATCGGCAGTGCACATCCATGATCCCGCATGCGGGTCTCAAACTCAAGATCTTTGGACTTACGCGCGAACACTTAACCTCTAGATCACTGAGCCAGCATCCAAAGGTGTTAATGTCTAACTTCAATCCACTCATGAATGGTTGCGCAACCATTTATCCATTGTCTGAGGTAAATACCTGTCTCTACTCGACACGAATTGAACTCCATTGGTCACAGCTTCTCACTAGAACTCTAGTGCTTCCAGGTTTTCAGTAATGGTCCAGCTTGCATCGACTCATAAATTTAACTATTAAAATTTATCAACCAATCAGGGAAATTATTCACAAACATAAGAACAAAAATCAAACAAATGGGAGATTCAACCAAAACAAAGAAATAAACAATGACAGGTTTAAGGTCAACAAGAACCAATCAACTTCGAAGTCTACAGGACAAGCTGTGAACCACATGGAGAAATTCGAACACTTCTATCTGAAGTTTGTGCTGATGATGTCGTTCAGAAGAACGATGAAAGTTCCACGACCAAAACATCCAGCTCAGAGAACAAAATCATCCACCTAAGCTACAAATCTTCTCCACTATCTGAAAATCATTACCATTTTCACAAACCCCATTCTGATCATAAAAAATAAATCTGTCAAATGATAATTGGTGTCTAATGTTGATGACTACTATCTTTACTATATGATAATTAATTCCAAGAAAGAAATTGTCACCAGGATTTATTTCTTATTTGCAATCTGCCTCTACACAAATATGTGCACACACGCACAACAATTATACACCATCTTTATTCTGATTTACTGATTTCCCATTGTTATTAATTTGAATCTATCTATTTTTGTATGTATGATTAGAAAAGAGGTTAAGGTGAGAATGGTGGGGTGTTTAATGTGTCAAATTACAATAATCAGTGTACAGTTTGACCAACCAACCAATCAATAAAAAGAAAAGAAGTAGTAAACAGGTTATCATGGAAACAATACAAAAAGAGAAAGCGATGTCAATGACATACCAAGAAATCTTCTAAAAATGTTTATGAAAAACAAAATGTTATTTTTTTATATATTTTAATCTATCCTACTTTGAAATTTGTTTTACTATTTCTAATGAGATTTTGTTTATTTTTGTTTTAAACAAAAACCTAAATAAAATAAAAATAAAAATTGATTTGTTTGTTTGTTTGTTTTTCAGCGGGGCAAGGGGGGGTTAGTGTTTTAAAATGATGAATATTCTCATTACCAAAGCTGTTTATTTTTTACTGGTTTAAGCATATATAAGTATGTTTTGTCTTTCTTCTTTTCTTTTCTTTTTTTTGTTACCATGGGACGAACACACTCGGTTACATAATCGGTTGTATTGAATAAAAATATTTATATTATGTGATAGAGATTTGATTGGGGAATCACTATTATTCATTTGATTAATAATGAGAATAATAATAATAATAGTCGTAATAGTAGTAACTCTATGATTAAGGCATAGAAATGCACTATTCTCAGAATGTCTATTAAGTGCTTTCAAATGTTTATGAAAGTATATCGAAATAAATATATGTATGTATATGTATTAGGCACTTTTATATTCGTTTTTCTTAGGCTTCATATTCATAGATTAAATCAGATGATGTCTCAGAAACATTTTGATCATCTGATCTAATTTGTAAATGACTACTTTTGTCTTTATCAGTTACATATTTTGGTTTATATTGATGATGATGATGACGATGATGATGTTGTTGTTGATGCTTTGGAGAAGAATGTGGAGAAATTGATTTCGTCGGTGATAATGATGAATGGCTAATAGTTCGATGTCCGTAAGGTTCAGATTGATAAATTGTAATCTTGATTGGTTCTTCATGTGTACTACAAGCATTTTGTGATGTATCTGTTTCAGATATGGAAGTTGAATTATTGACTGGTGAATCTAAAATTTAATAAAATGAATAGATTATTCAATATGAATTAGGATATTGAGCTTCGTTACACATTTCTATTTTAAGCAACGAGTTACGCTAATAAATTACTAGAGATTATTGTCCTTGATTAAGCATTGAAAGAAGTGATACGTTTCTTTCGTTTTTTACAGATCTTTGGTATAAATATAAGACAGTGGTTGGCAGTGGGATTTAAAACAAACAGCAAGTTCAATGTGTTTGTATTCCAATGTCAATACCTCCGATTTTACCTGAAAATAAAACTCTACTTTTTAAACCTCAGTGTACTACTTAATGGGCAATTAAGAGACTCTACCTAAATACCTACCTTTTCAACAGGTTCGAAACATTTGTGTGTAAAGGGTTTCTGAAGATTGTTCTATTTCGTAATTCACATCAAGAACTGACCTTAGATAAATGATGATTGGAAATCAGAAAGCACTAAATAGCAGTTTCACCCATGTTACGGGACTCTTTCCAGAGTTCTACAAAGAAGTTGTGCTAAGTAGAGTTTATCTATATTGAGTGTGAGGCAGCTACTAAGCAATGGTCTTGGAAGATGACTGAGCAACGTAAAAAATCGACCAATGTCAAATGTATAAATCACCAAATATGAAGGTCAGGCACTTTTCAAGAGGCCTGAAAATCGTAGGTTCGATCCGCCCGAGGGTAGTGTATGAGTATTACTAAGTTTGTCTTATACTAAGATGAAGTAGCTGTCCAGTGATTTATGGCTTCTGATGACTATCAAACTAAGGCTAGTTCGTATTTTACATGATGGAGTTATGATATTTGTAACCAGTTGCTTGAGTTCTTTGTCCTGATGGAGTTCATTATTAAAATTCTAATTAACGTGTAAATCCAGACAGTACTAAATTCTATGTCCAAAAGACGTCGAATGTTACCAAGTATTGATGAAATCCAGCCTTGAATATCAACAACAAGAAACCGCAAACGGTATACCATGATGGCGATAATAAAAAACTAGTTGATGTTGATCACGTTTAGTAGAAAACAAGTTTTGCATACAACATTTTGACTAGCTAATTAACAGAATTTACTGATAATCAGAAATCGCTATATATCTGGTCCTACTGTGTGATCAATTTGATAGTAAATGCTAAACCAAACCTACTTTCTGAGTTTTCCATATCTGTTTCATCCTCCCCCTTTAACAACTCTAAACTATTTTTCGAATCTGTCCTGGACAAAGTTGTTTCGTTTCCGTTATCATCATCATCCACATGGTCAGTAGCTACGATAAGATTCGTTCTTCTTGATTTTTTTGTTTTCTCACAATCACCTCTTTCCTCAGTGGATCCTTCATCCTCTTCTTCTTCTTCTTCTTCATCGTCATCATTATTCTCTTTGTGATATTTATATCTTTCTATATTTGTACGAATATTATCAACTGTTGAAGTGTTCGATCCATACATTAACATATTTTTTTGAAAATCATTTAAACCATAAATTCGTTTATTACATGACAACTTGTCATCAGTCAATAAAACATTCTGTATCCCAACTGATGGATAAAGAATTTGGTGATGATGATGATGATGATGTGGTGACTGTGAATGATGATGCTGATGATGTAAGTGTTGATAGTTAGGATTTAAAAGTACATGTGAATGTTCACTGCCACTATAAGGATTACTACTAATACTACTCTTATCACTACTACTACTATTATTAGTAGTAGTAGTATTAGTAATAGTAATCGTAGTAGTAGTAAGATGTGATGTTACTGTGTTATTAAAATTATTCTCATTATGTATAGGAGTTGCATGTCTAGATAATTTATTCACATTACTAACTATATTATTATTATTATTACCATTATTTGATGTAACATTGGATGATATGAACGAATTGATAATACGTGGACGTTTAGCTTGTGGTGGTCGATAATCTTTAGATGATGTAATTAATTGTCCTGTACAAGTTGTTGAACATGTAACAATATTGATTAATCCAACTCCACTGGTTAATGTTGTCGATGTGATAGGAATAATTTGTTTAGCATTACATAACATTCTATGATGATAATTTGTTAATTGATTGTTTAATAATTCACTATTATTATGTAATCCATTAACATCAGGCATACTGACATATGTATCAGATCTTTTTATACGATATAAATGTTCTTGACTATTACTAATAGAATATAATTGACATTTTGGTATAGATGATAGTTGTGATGGTTTGAAATGAGGTAAATTTTGTATTTTATACATGGATGGTGATTGATTATGTTGTTGACAATATATATGTACATTATTATTATTATTATAACGTAAACCACCACCCCATGATTGTGTACGATTAATGGTATTGTTTATATTAGGTATTCTTTGTTTCAAATCATGATCAGTTGGTGATAAATGTGTATTAGTTAATATAGGTAATTCTTTATCTATTTTAGGATAAATATTAGTTGCAATCCAATTTCCACGATTCTGTGGACTAGACAATACAGAATGTGATTCTATTCAGAAAGAAGGAAAGAAGAGGTTTTTAATCATGAATTAACGTCCATTAAAATATAGTCTGTTATTGTTATGAGCATGAAAAATTAAAGGATACTCGATAACTATATCATGTTGTAAATAGCAAATGAAAATCAAGGAGTGATTATATAGAATGTTTACCTTTATTTTCTGGATTATTAAATTACGGGTATCTTCGGAGACCTACTAATAGACTAATATAATCTATATATTCTTATTGTTTAACTATTCTGTAGCTAGATTGTATATATCTACATTCCCCTTATTATAAGCTTCATTTTGACTTATAGATTGCTATTGTACAATTTACTATTCTTAAGTTATACTCAGTTATTTGATTACCGTCTCCCATGTTCACAGAAACTTTTCGGCTTTATTGTGTAGAAATGTTATTTCCTATTTTATGGTGCGTTGTGGTCTGTTTGGTTGGTATATAAACCCAGTATGTCTGAAATAAATGATTTGCATAGTGAAGGCTGTTGTTAGCATTCTGGACTCAGCTGAATGGACTAGGCTAGCAACGGACCAATAGGACGCTAGGCTGATCAGATCGAATGAACTTCATTGGTTTAGTACAGTACAAAGGTGAATAAGTCGTATTTTGATTGGCAAATACATTGAGTGATAACTAGTGGGCCATAAAGACACAACAGACTGAATATTCATTATAAAGTTACAACTCACTGTTCAGTGTTTTTAGATCCTAATCCATGATGCTTACCAATTGATAAGTTACTTAAACACCTCCAACTTTTCTCCATCACTTTCTGAACTAGGCTATTAACAATTACACATAAAATCTGGACCTCAGAGAGTACATAGTTATTTTCTATATATGTATATTGAATTTCATTTATTATAAGTTTTTAGTGAAATTCAAACAATTATTCAATCTTCTGTTGTATTGTTATGATATAATAGGCTATTTGAGTATAGACATGTCACGCACTTGTGCTAACAACCACCTCAAGTTCAAACGGGAAGTGAGAAATTATGAACTAGTCACTATATTGACTTATAATCAAAGTCTCCGCCTAGATGTCATTATCTGTCTTAGAAGCATAATCGTATAAGACCCTATGATTTATTGACAGAACTATAATTAATGAACGAACTAATGAGATTTAAGATAAAAAGTCTTGGTTTTTGACGTGAAATTCATTGATCCATATGACTAAATAGTTTATGATGAAAACCCTAATGCCTAACTATAAATCCTAACATTAGGTCCTCATATTAATTTGTGTTATATATTGAAAAGCTGATTTTCTCGATATACCGCGTATAACAGAGCACTAGAACACCAAAACCCTTCCAAGTCGCAATAAGAAGACAGAAGACTAACGAAAGGAATATTATTCCAAACAGTGTCAATCATAGTACAAAACTGTCAGGTATTTATAGTTTTTAGTGAGAACGAAATCATCATTACAGTGTTCCAATCCGCATACAGGGGGTTATTAGCATTATCCAATCGGGAAGCTACACGTTGGAATTCTAGAATATTCTTCCGAAAGGTGATTGGATGAGACGCCTTCGGCTCCTTCTGAGCCTCTTACAGCTTCCTCGAGTTCACCGGTGGTCCGTCATCACAATTTGTAACCCTCTTTTAACCCTAATAAGCAGGTAAATATTCTCAAGATCAATTTACCATCACTCAAAGGTTATCCGTAAATTGTAATCTTACTGATTTATTTATACTACAAGTTGATTTACTAACCAAACATCACCACTTAATTGTCTTCCTAATTAGATCATGAGTTGGTGTACATTAGGACGTGCAAATTGTAACTACATTGAACTGTAGAATAAAACATAATGTTCCAGTTGACACTATTTCATGTGGAAATATACTATCAAATTATCTTAAATGTTGTACTGCTTATACAATGTCAAAATAATCAAGTCATATATAAATCTATTTTCATCATGTTAAACTTTGAAGATAGATTTTTAATGCAGGATTAATGCTAGATCATGTACATTTTGATCTTTTCTGAATAGTAACATCTATCAGTTAAGTCTAGAATGCAATCACTTAGGGAGATATGATTTAGTAATAATGAGAATAAAAGATTAAGTAATAATTTGAATGCCTACATGTTGTTGATCAAACTAGATTTGCTTTAAATTCCAATAAATGTATTCCATTAATAGTGTGTTTCATGAATGATATCTATATTAGGTCTGAAGATCGTTTCATAAAGCACTGGTTCTTTTAATCTGTAACTCCGAAGTTGTAAGCATCTACCTAGAATTGAATACCAAGGGTATTCAAACCTCATAAGCAAAACAAAATCTTCGTAAGATTGAGTTAAAATCTAATGATCCATATTTCTAACTCCTGTTTTCATAAACAACTAATTATCCGTTATTGTTTATGGTATAATGAAGAAGAAACAATTTCATTGTTCAGTCAACTGATGTGATGTAACTTACTTATATCTGTTGACATAAATAGTATGCAACACCAATCAGAAGTAGAAAACCTGACAACAGAAGTTTATAAAGATCGAATTGAAGAAAACAGAAACGGAAATAGAAAAAAATGGTGACTTGGAAGTATCATATAGAATGTGAAGGACAAATAATAGAAATTTGCAAATGAAGTATTCAATGTATGGTTTTCATAGTTTACCAGGTTATTCAATAATGGATTTGTCATCCTCATCTGACTGCACATTTGATACACTAACAGTAGACTCTAGATCTAGGGATAATGACACATGGTTACCTATTACCTTCAAATTAATTGTCTTGCCATTTGAAGAAGAACTAAATTTAACGAAATAGAAAGTGCAGTTAAAGTGGTATTAAAATAGCCTTATGTTTAGTTTATCTGGATATATCTGTCTACAATCAACTACTAATCAAAAGTCTGATCAAAAATAACAATTCAACTACGTTCAACTGTTGAATTCATAAGTCGATCCAGGACAGACCACCATTGAAAACCTAGACACACTAGACAACCGTTTCATCCCAGTATGAGACTCCCCAACAGTGCGCATCCGCGATCCCGCAAGAGAAGGGCTCGAACTCCGGATGATAGTCACTAGCGACTAGCCTTAAAACAAATTTTCTAGAGCTCTAATGAGAAGCTGTTACCAGTAGAGTTCAATCCGTGTTGTGTGTGAGACAGTTATCCAGCTCAAATAATGGCTGAAAATCTGTGGGAAATCATGGATCGATTGAGGTTAGACATTAATACCACTGGATACCAGCTCAGTGGTCTAGAGATTAAGCGTTCGCGTATAAGTCCGAAGATCCTGAGTTCTAGTTCCATGTACGAGATCGCGGTTGAACGTTGCTCACCAGTTCTACATTATGACAAAACGGTTGTCCAGTGCTTTCAAGCTTTCAATAGTGTTCTAGCTTAGATTGACTCATGAATTCAACTGTTTAAGTTACTACAATCTCTACAAACCTTTACTCCGTGTTTCATTTTAGTTTATTTGATAGTTTTAACAAAAACAAAATGTTCATGATTACTAAACAAATTCTTCTACCTGTTTTATTTCCACTTCTTTTAGATTGTTCTTGTTGTTGTTGTTGTTGTTCAATAGTTCGTTTTTGTACAAATGTATTTAAATTATGCTTATTCCTATCATAAACATCAGTTTGTTCATAAGATGTAATTGGATAGGATCCATAAGTATGTGTTAATGATGTTGGTTGAGTTGATTTATCACGTAAAATATTTGTCATTGTCCTGATTGAATTCATTGCTGTATTAGGTAAATTAATTGATTCATTCATTGAATTATTTACACTAACAATACTACTCTTAATATTATTAGTAGTAGTATTATTATTACTAAACTTTTGAAATTGAACACATTCAATAGGTTCTTTCTCAGTTGAACATTGTTTAATAGGAGTAAACTTTTTATTTGATAACTTTCCGCTAGTATTATTATTATTATGGTTACCTTTAGTTTTAATGAATGAATATTTAATAAGATCTTTATTTGAATTCATTTGACCTGGTGATGATGATGATTTCATATTTTCAACATTACGTTGCCATAGCAACGGTGCATTAATACTATCAGTACTATTCCAAATCATTGTAGTATTACGACTGCCAGATTTTTTCATAGATTTCAATTCATGCATCATTATTGATTGATTATTATTATTATTATTACTATTAGTAGCGTTATTTAAATATTGAATCTCTTGTGTTAAACTTGAATTAGACAAAGTGAATATTGGTTTCTTTTTATAGTTATTATTATTATTATTATAATCCTTTTTCAAATGATTATTTCCTTCTAGTAGTGCACCAGTAGACATAACATGATTTAATCTTTGTAGACGTCTATCATCAAATTTACTTGATTGTATCGTTTGTTCATCTTCTTTAGATTTGATCATTTGTCGTGCTGTTTCACGTCGACGACGACGTATAGTCATAACTTTAAAAATAAATGCATTAAATGGATTAGAATTTATGGTGAAATTGTGAGAAAAGTAAGATTTATAATTGTTATTAGTCAGTCTGTTTATTGAAACATTGATAAACAGATTCCATAGAAAATAGTCTTCATGATTGAAAATTTATATCGTAAATTGTTGACAGTCAGATAGTTGACTTGTTATATTATGAAATGTCTTCCTCAAGAGTACTAACTCACGATCTTATCAAGTATCTAACTCAAAACTTCAAGTTCTTATGACAAATGTATAGGTTTTAGAACTACTCAGTTCCAAAACTTAATCAATTGGTGATACAGTGATATGATCATCTAAATCTTTTTTTCAACCGAGTCTGTTGTGAGATAATAGCTCACTCATGACAGTGGCGAATGTGTTGCTCAGTTTCGCGGATTAGTTGAAGTTGGACATTAACACCGTTGGATGCCGGCCGGCTCAGTGGTATAGTTGTTATGAGCTCGCGCATGAGACAGATAGGTCCTACGTTCGAATCCTGTGAGGTAAGTTCGTGAATGCGCACTGCTGCCTGGTTTCGCAGTAGAAAGGAACGGCCATCCAGTGCTTCTAGATTTCCGATAGTGGTCTAGCTTTAGTTGACTCATGATTTCAACTACTGAAATAATTTTTTTGATTTATAGCATGCATAGACTGCGTCAGTCACGTTTTATGACTAGAACTCCAGGAATATCTTGAAGTCGCTTATGTCTGAAGACATTTTGCGAAGGTTGATTTCACTTATGCGTTACACATGTCGCAAACTGATCTTAACTCGGGGTACAACTGGAAAACACGAGGCACTAGACGTTTCTCTCATTCTAGTACGGGAATTTTTGGAGATAACCATCCACGATCCTACCAGGAGACCAAACTTAGGATCTTCAAGCATTCTAGCGAAAGCTTAATCAACCTGAAACGCATAAAATATACAAACTAAACTAATTTCTGCAAAATCCCTAAACTAAATTATAAAAATGCTTTTTCTTTGAACATGATACCGTCGCCATCAGCAATAATAATAATAACAATACAACTTACATATACATGTGGATGTGACAATCAACAATATTAAGCCTAAGGTGGCCAATATAGACAAATGTAATTTTTGAGCAGCCAAACGTTCTGCTTCCGCTTCAAGTTGCTCTTGTTCCTTCCTTAATTCAAATACACTTTTACTAGTATCTGGTATTAATTGACCGTCAGGACCTAATACATTTGGATGTAAGCCTGTATATAAAGTCAATAAAAGGAAGGTTTCGTTGAAGAATTGGAATCATATTGGTGAAAATATGCTTTTTTCAAGAATGCTTTCCTTTCCAATATGATGGAAAATATATTTGTAGCCCAAGATGAGGATAATGAGGCTGTTGTGATCTCTTAGCTGGATGGTTTGGATGTGAACCTTCATTGTATTACTACTGAACAACATCACTAGCACTTAATTCAGGATGAAGTTCAGGCTGACGGTGTTGTTCAAATGAACATTGAAATTTTCACAAACAAACCATCCAGCTCAGAAATCACAGCAAAATCGAACAATGGTTCCCATTTTTAGTTCCATTCAGTATGGTCAGAGGTTCCCAGTATTGAGGAGATGTTTTTAACAGTTCATTCGATTACATTATTTCGATTAAAGACAGGAACTGCTTTAACATAAGTGTAAGTTTTAAATAAATAAACAGTGAAGGTGTGGTGCCTGGTACTATGTCTAGTCCACACAGCCTATTTCAGCTTCCAGATAGGCCAATCTATTCATTCTTCTTGAGTCACACTTTGACCTCGTTAGTTATTCATTTATCAACCTTGACTGTTTTTATATAAGTGTGTGCGTGTGCACTTTCCGTCCCATTTCATCACATGTCTGTAACTTATTTTTTGTTCGGCCATAAATATGGATTAACGCTTGATTAAATGGAGTTGATTCACACGCCTTCTCCACCGCACTTCATTTCTCTTCACCCTCTTCTCCTCGTTTCGTTCCTCTGATTGTCTGTCCACATCAATGAGTATACAAAATATACATATTCAATTATTTATTCTCGTATTTGACTTATTTTAACTCCGTTACTCACCAAGGAGATTTAAGTCGATGATTATATACGAGGATTGGCGAGGATATGTGCTTTCGATAACAATCATTCATACGATCACCTTGGAGTCTGATTTAGGGCCAGTAAAAAAGAATATGTTTTCTGTGAAATTGTATTCTTTCTGAAATGATTGGCTTAATTGTGATCTTTTATTACCCTTTTAGACAATATCATTATCATAGGCTTCTCATAGATGTGAATTAAAGACATTTTTCTACAATTGATTAGCAGCTTATTCTATTGACTTTGAATTTGATTAGTTCAACTTAACTCTTTGGCGAGACTATAATTTATGTACGACGTTTGAACGAATCTTAAATGGACCTTGACAAATTTCAGCCAATCAGAAGACAGAGTGAGAATATATTACATGAAACCAAAAAATAAGAGTGGATGCACTTCTTTAACATAGTTTAAGAAGTTTTTAATGTTAAAAAGAGGCTCTTGGGTTCTGAAATCATAGTGTATGCGGTACAGAAACTCATCCATGTGACTCTAAGTATACTTGTGGAAGTATTACTTACCCAGTCTTCTTTAAAACTTCTTACTCCGTTAAATTAGCGTTTTGTTGTAACGAGTTGGCCTGCAGGTTTTTTTATAAGCAGCGTATTTATTGATCGTTTCGGTGACATTGAACACGTAAGGACGACCTACTGCCCTGATTGGTCTCGCTTCCCTGTCTAGCCCAGTCAGTTGAATCAGAACGCAAGTCACAGCCTCGGATATATGAATCATTATATTTCAAACATACTTTGTTTATATACCAATCAAGCATACCACATCGTACCATAAATTAGAAAACAACATTTTGTACAATATTCGACAAGTGAACAGATATCGACCAATAGGAAATATCCATTTATAGTCCAAGGACACTATTGGACTTAACATGATAATTATTGGTCTATTCCTCCACATCCACAACACCTCCCTTTTTTTTTAAAAAGATCCGGAGTTAATATCTGGATTTTAAAATTTTCTGCGTCCATCCTCCCCCACGAAATAATGTTGGGTCCTCATATCCCCAAGTTAAAATTAATTTGACTTTATTTAACACATAATTGTCACATGGAACAGAGAAGTCACTAAAAGTGATTAAGTAGTGTGGACCAACGTCGCTTGATATGAGGTCATCAACGTTCGATTCTTCTGGAACATTACCATAGAATTCCTTGAAAATCTCATTTGTGAATAGTTGATCACTGGGATAATTAACATCTATCAAATTTGTATTAAACTTCTGATCATCATTTGGTGCATCTGACACATTTTCTGATACAAGAGAATCTAGATAATAAGATTCATCAGAATCTCCTGTTGTTGAATGATGAGGACCGTTTGGAGCAACTAGACTCAGTATACTGCACGATTTGTTTCCTGTTTTCTTGTGAGAGGGTACTGTAATTAATTTATGAGCATTTAATAAGAGATCTTCTTCCTGTGAGCTGGGTGCATCACTGTCTGTACACGTTTCAGGAACAGTGGGATTTGAACCCACGACAGGGAATGTTTCGGAATTCGACATTTCTGGACAACTGGGCGGATCATGAATAACTGTCTCGTTTACATCACTGGTCATCATGGATTCATAGAGGCTTTTGTTTTCATCTTCATACGTCCTGCAGTCATTTTCGAGTTCAGTATGTAAGTGAGAAATTAATTCATCAGTTTCTTTCACATCTCCGAAACATGGGAGATCTAGCAGTCGCGTGCGTAAATAGTCCAAAACATTCAACTGGCTCTCTCTGAAACGCTGCTGCTGGCGATCTAGTAGTAGCTGCAATTGATCGGGAAGGATAGTCATTTTCTGAATCAGTAGGGTAATGGGAAATACTGTAATCAATTAACCAATGACTCCCAAGGTCGCCGATGACAAATCTGGATACTGATTGATCAAAATAGATAGGCTGAATCTTGTCCAATTACAGGGTTCAAAATTTTCTCTACCCCGTCGCGGATTGTTGTAACGGGTGTGACTGCAGGTCTTTGATACGCAGCGTTCTATCGATCGATCGATTACAGTGGACAGTGACACGTAAACATGTAAGGATGACCTAGTGCCCTGATTGGCCCTGCTTCGCTGTCCGTCCTAGCCCAGTTGAGTGAAGAACACAAGTCACAGCCTCGGATATATGAATCATTATATTTCAAACATACTTTGTTTATATACCAAACAAGCATACCACGTCGTACCATAAAAATAGAAAACAACATTTTGTACAATATTCAACGAGTGAACAGATATCGACCAATAGGAAATATCCATTTATAGTCCAAGGACACCATTGGACTTAACATGATAATTATTGGTCTATTCCTCCGCATCCACAACACGTTTCCTAACTACTATATCGTCGATTTTTACAATTCTCCCGATACCTTTAAATTTTGAATGCAAGCTTGTCATTCTTATTGCACATATATCTCAACAATACTAATGCCACCGAACTGTCAAAGCTTCAATAACATCTGCGAATGTTGTAGTCAGCGTTATTGGTGCTTTTATTACCCAGTTTACAACAATTATCATAATCGCGAAAGAGCGAAAAAAGTCCCTATCCTAGCAAACTTTCTCCATCAACATATATTACATCGAAATACAACATCACCTCAATAGTCTACAAAATATCCAGCAGTCATTTGAACACTGCAACCAAATATAAGGTCACTTCTCAGTATTTACATTTGTTAAGACCTCTAAAGACAACGTCCTCCTTGAAATCCTCTGTAGATCGATCGTATGTGAACATTGAGTTTTGAAATAGGCACTGTAACTTTGAGATCGCTCATTTGCGCCTGAATGGCTCGTTCATAAATTATAATTTCTTCAACTCTTTTTCTGTCATTGTTTGAATATTTATTTTCATCACCATGCCTTTTCACCTTTTTTAACAACTCATAAACGTTTAAGATGAACTGACTGTATTTCGATGTTTTTATTGGCTATTGATGGGATTAAATCCTAATTTTCTAGTAAATTTCTAGTCTATTTTATGTTTCTTTTCAGAATTATCTATTTGAGTAAAGACAAGTTGTTCAGTTCGACTGCCATTTGATGTTCATGTAGATGATGATGATCAATTTTATTTCTGGCTTGTGAATTCAAAAGAGGCAATTTTCTAAAATCATCTTCCTAAGCTATAAGTATCCTTCAACATTACAAATGTAGTACAATTTATACATTTAGATGTCATAGAGATTTCAATACTGATCAAGGATAACACTGTTAACATTCTTGTTTTACAGAGCATAACTATGAATTACGTTTTTAAGTGGACTTGAAAATCACAAATCTAGTGGTGTTATAAACGTTTTCCCTATCAATTTATTATCCAAGCTTATTATGTTCGAATCATATATATATATATATATATATATATATATATTAATATATATATATATATATATATATATATATATATATATTACTTATCAATACAATGCTAAGTAGTTTGAATAATGACTGATTGTAACAAAGAACAACATTTCGGATGAATCAAACATGTTTAACTTTGGGAAATGCCAAGAATTCGAATTTAATCAACTAACTCAATAATAATGGAATCAACATAAGATCTAGTTGTATTTAAGAATGGATACAGTTATACAACCAACAGTGTTTTATCCATTGCCAATCACTGTCCAGCTGTTAACGATGAGAACAGGTGAAACTTAATGTCTAAAATCTAAAAATGTGTGTACCGTTCGTAGTAGTAAATAAATCTCCGAATTCAATAGCTCTGTAAGTCTTCGACATTTGACGCTGACCATATTAATTTTAATGGACTCATCTAGCTAAAGGCGCTCAGTCACGCATCCACCACATCAGACCACAAGTGGGTACTCTGTGCTCAACTTCTCTTACAACCGCTAGCTTCTCGATATATCAACAGCTTATCAAATACATCATCGAACCTCTTTATCTCTGACTTCTGATTTCACTGGGTTGGTACGTTTCGATTACAGAAGGTTATACTGGTTAAGGTGTTGTCAAAGTCCAAATACTTGTGGCATCTTCACGTTGTACTTAAAAAACTTAACTATTCAAAAGTTAATGAAATTGAAGTGATTTTACTAGTTATGCATACAACATAAACTGGATGTTCAGGGGATATTTATTGTCTTGATTTAACTTAATAAAACTCAAAATAATATGGTTGTCTGATGTATACAGATAAGTAGATAAATGTAGCTTACTCGACCGTGTGCAGTGACCTCCTTCATCTTGCCACTGAGGACAATTAATTATATCATCACACCATAAATGTTTTGGTATACAAACTTCTGAATCACATGCTTCCCAATCCTTGACACATGGTTTACCTATATAAATAAATTGAACAGTAACCAGAGTATTATAACAAGAAGTCATGTTACATTGTACAAACGCGTTTCATTAACATAATTGAACGTTTTGTAAAGTAACTTATACATAATCATTTAGAAACTACATAAATATTGGCTAATTTCATAAACCATTAGGTAATCTGTATAAAACAGATTCGATGAACTGAACAATGATTAAATCATGTTTAAAGTTCCCAATTCTTGAGTAAGAAGTTTTCTTTAGTTTCATTGTTGAAATAACAAACAAAATGGCTATTCATATTCTTTACATAGTTATAAGTATAGGAAATTTAAAACAAGCATTTCAATCATACAATTTACATTTTGAGTATAAATGCTTAAAGTGATTTTTAGTATGTGATATATCCGAGCGAAGATTAAATCATGAGTAACTTCTGAGACATATTAATTGACTAATATTATCTATACATTGTAATGGTATAACTATTCAACAATTAGAGTATGAATATTTATATTCCCCCTATTTTAGCTTTATTTGACCTATAATTTATTATTGTACGATTTACGGTTCTTAGGCTATGTTCAGTTTATTAACTACTGCTTCCCACATTCACAGCCACTTTTTGGCTTTCACAATTGATTGATCACTGGGTGGTGATCAATGTCATGCTTGTCTAGTCCTTATTAGTGCAGATCGAATGCTATCCATCGAGTCACCTAGACTGGTGGCCGCATTGCTGGGTGACACGAGATCGAATCCGCCAGGGAGCATCGGTTCCCTCAAGATTACAGGTACACCTTGCTGACGAGTGCCAAGTAGCACGAAACGCGGGTCCAGGGTTTCCTGTTGACTACCTCCAACCACCATCTAGACTTTTTGACTTTATTGTGTACAAATGTTATTTCCTATTATATGGTGCGTCGCAGTCTGTTTGATTGATGTACAAACCCAGTATGTTTGAAATAAATGATTCGATTCGCATATTGGAAGCTGGTATTTGGTGTTCTGAACTCAAGTGAACAGGTTAGGTGGACATAGGACCAAATAAGACGCTCGACTGCTCATACCAGTCGGACGTCATTGGTTTTGTCACAGTGCTAAGATTGTATAGGTCGTATTTAGACTAGTGGATAAATCACGTGGTAACTAGCCGGATATAAAATCATCACATTATGGTGGTCTCAATAATTTAATAATCTTTATAGAAGATTAGAGTATATAAGCTTGAAGTAAATGAATGATCAATAGTTTGACAGACAACATCACGAACTCACACTAACTTCAATCTGTTCTATTATCTAGAGGATAAAAACTTGCATGTAAGAATTTCATCGTGAATAAATGTAAAGTATGACACTATTTGTAATGTTAGATTTTGGATTTCATTGATGAGAAAGATAAAGAAACTTGAGAAAACCTGTAAGTGAGAAGCTCAAACTGGTAAGAGGATATGAAGTAAGTTTTATCAGGTTTAAAATATTGATTTGTGATAAAGTACGTGATGAAGTATACATCTTGTATATTTTATTCTTTTCACTGAATTTTTGAAGTCATAAAACTATAATAAAAGAAATGTCGGTCTTTCCAATTGGATCTTGTAAGAAGCGATCAAATGTTAACATGAAACTCATAGACAAATTGAAATCCATGAATAAAAATATGAAATCACTATACAAATGAACATAATATGTATATCGTTTGTCTAATCAATACCTGACGACTGAACATCAAATCTTTAATGAGATTTAGGAAAATCTTCCAGAAGTTTATGACATCTTGAAAGCTGATTATAAAGAATTTGTATTGGATTAATAATCTCTTTCTAAATGGATCAAATGTTTCAGAGAATACCAGGAAAACCTTCAGGATGATATTAACAAGGAAATAACAGTAAACTTATTGTCTCGATGAAAATCTTGAAAGTTTGTAATGTCATTTGCTCGAACATTTGCTGATAAATTAATTTTAGAAAAATTATCCATGAACATGACTGTCATACACTAAATACTGTAAGAAATAAGGTCACCATTATCTCAGTGATTTGTGGACGAAGGAGATAATGATTGGTTGTTTGCTTAGTTAGACTGGTAGATAGGCTGACAGGAATTAGATGAGTTATATATTCTCCTACCCTTATTATTATGATTGGTTTTTGGTGTGGAAATATATTTATGTTCTAGTCAGGCTAGTCAAATGTACTTGATCTGAGTCGTGTTGAAGTCTTGTAGAATAGACACTGGGAGGAGCATCTAGTGTAGATAATCATCAAAGGCAAAATAGCATCCCATTCGTGTAGACGGAAAACCGAGCGTTATAATACTCAGTCCATGTATATTTTGGAAGAAATGATATGAACAAAAAATGTATTATTTCCTGGATTAATTGCCCTGATCTCAGTTGTCTTAACCTGAAGCGTGTTATTCTTCACGTTAGTGTTAATTCCTTCATTTTATATATTACACTATTGACACTGTTCATCGTTACACCACTCATTAGTAACAAACTACTTCAAATGTAAAATACTCTGACAGTTGAACTCATGGTTCCATTAATGCTACACCACCATAGAAAACCTAAAAGCACCTTCATGCGTGAAACCAAAGGTCCTGGGTTCGAATCCTCAGTGTATGTGCATCCTATGTTGTACATGTCTACATTAAAACCAAGTCAATAAATATATTTAAGCTTATCAATCGATAATCCATATCTACCTTAAAAACTAACTCTTACTTCTTCATTACTGAAGATTCAGTTCCACAGTATATTCGTGGCAACTACTAGACATTCATGATCAATGACTTACTCTCATACTCAAAGTACATCTATAATCACGGTGAAATAAACTAAAATTAAACTGTTATATACTGTATTCTGCTTCTAATGAGTAAAACAAATCTTTAAAAACATATATTCAATCATCAAATTAAATCAATAAATCAATAAAATAATATTGAACATTGAATGATTTTCATTTAAAATTCATTCAACTAACCATCCATTGATTTTTGTTTTAAACTTGTTAATATAAAAACAAATTTAGGCATATATTCTTGTAATTTTTCATCGATTTTATTCATGATGTTTACTGTTTGACGAAGATAACGATGACGACGACGATGATGATGATGATGATGTAAGATCGTTGATGAATATTTCAGTTTGTTTTCTTCCAATGAATTATGATTACTGGAATTTCTAGAATCATTATTATTATTATTATTAAAGTATGTTAAATCACGACGTGTTTTAATTGTATCCAATAAATCTGGTTTTAAATTTGGTGATGCAATAACCATACGTATAATAAGACGTGGATAACGTATATAAAAATCTCTATCAGAACCATGATTTTTTGGTAATTTTAATATACCTAAAGTTTTATCACAGAATCGGATAATTTTAGGACATGGTGGAACAAATTGTGATATAGTTTTACCTGGATATACTTCGAAAAATGTATGCTGTCCATCAATAATTGATGAAGGATCTTGTAATGATAATTTATTTAAACCTGAGTCTGTAACTGAATAGATGAATAAAAGAAAAGATAATTCATTTTTGGTTAAAGATCATTAAAAATGAGTAATAAATTCAATATGAGATCATGAATGGATTGAAGCTAAATATAAACACCACTAGGTGTTGGGTCAGTGGTCTGAAGGTTAAGCGTTTGCGCTTGAGGCTGACGATTCTGGGTTCGAGTCCCAAATGCGAGATAATTGGTGCACACTGTTGAGGCGTTCCATACTAGAATGAAACAGCTATCCGGTGCATCCAGGTTTTCAGTGGTGCTCCAGCATAGATTGGCTTGTGAATTCAGCTGTTAAATAGGAAAGATTAGTTCAGCGAAGAGTTCTCTTTTCGACGAATTCATTTTCAAAGCTGTACAATCGCAAATATATATACTTATTATAACAGGATGATAATAATACTGATAATAAATTTCTGTTATACATGGTGACAGGGAAGTCAAATAAACTTGCTCTTGTAAAGCTAGGTATATAGGTCGTTCGATGCGTACTTTATTCAAAAGAATTCAAGAACATTATACCGGTGTGTCTAAAAAGAGGAGGCAACAGCTCAATAAGAAGTTCAATAATTGAACACCTTTTGAACACATGTCATTCAACCAAGACAGACTCTGTGTTCAAAGTCATCTACAAGGTAAGTGGAAGTCTTCCTAAGACAATTAGACTGCATCTTCTCTGCATTGCCGAAGCAATAGCCATACATCTGGAAAAACCATAATTGTATGTGCAAAAGAGACTGGTACAACCTCTTCTTCTACCATGGTCTTAATGTATTAAAATTTTTCTCCTTCTTCATACTCTTGTTCCCTTACAGCCACCTGCTTCACCTTCCATCTTTCCTTCAAATCTTCTACCCCCAACCGGTTTTGTTTTTATTTCCACGATCTTTCCGATTACATTTCATCTCTGTTTCAACATTTTATTTTATCATGCTGAGCCATCCTTACCCAATGAATACTTCAGCCATTAACTATCAAACGATTATTAAACTTTCCTTGTTTAAAAATTTTTTTACCTTTGTTTATTTAAACTCACTGTCACCATGTATAGCAGAAGTTTATTATCAGTATTATTATCATCCTGTTATAATAAGTATCTATATTTACGATTGTACAGCTTTGAAAATGAATTCGCCGAAAAGAGAACTCTTCGCTGAACTAATCTTTCTTAATTAATGTCTTAATGCGTGTATTCCGTTTATTAAACAATTCGGCTGTTATTATATTAGATAATTATAAATAACGTAAAGATATAATTTCCTTGGTTACTTATCTACCTTGGTCATTATAATTTAAATGGATTCACGATGTAATGACAATTGTCCATCTTTATCTGTATTACATTTACCTGTCTAAATTAGTTTTTTAAATGATTACATTGCATTATCAATTACTGTACGTGGTTTGTGGAGATTGCTGAATTAGTGGATTAAATCACAAAGTGATCTTAGTTAAACATTCACTGAAAACGAAAAGGCGCCGAATAACTACTCCGTCATAGTATAGAACTACTTAGAAGTGTGTATTTGTGACCGCGTTGGGGGATTGAATTCAGGACCTACATATCTTACGGCTAGTGTCTAACCTTTATACCAGCAAGTGATTATTTATTTGTTTATATATTTAACAGTAGTCATTTGGCAGAAATGAGGAATTATGCTAGATGGATAGGAGTTAACCACCGTTGGCATGAATAAATGGGTTTTCAATAATTCTCTAAATAAGATCATACTATGATATAAATTACGAAATACGAAAATCTGAACAGACCTCTCTTAAGTTTAAATCTTAACTCTAACATTTCCACACGTAATTAACACCGACTGATGAGTAGCATGTCATTTTCTGTAAGTATATCCTTGTTTTTTTTTTAGATCTACAGACCTAAAATCTTATAAGATAAGTGGATCCATTGATTAATTATACACTATTTATACATTGAAGTAGTATTATTTACTTTCCATAGGTTATACATTTATAAAGGATGTTTCCGAATTGGTCAACACAGGGATTAAGCTCTTCTTGATTATTCGAACTAGTGTACTGTAATATAACCCTTTCACTTATGTTTCTATCTCAATATCTCATAATGACCCTATGTTATGATTGAAATAATATCTAATAAAGTATTTCGTGTTGAAAGGTACTTTCATGTATTTGGCACAAAACAATGAATCTAAATTTCATGGTAATTGGGATTTATCAGAAAGACGCAACTAAATTTCGAATACGCTAAAGAACAATAACCTAATTGATGTGAACAGGGAAACAAAAAGCTTTGACAAACTACGGAAGCTACTTTACGGGGAACGTTATTTCATTTTATTCAAAGCTTGTAAAACACTAAAATTTATTTTTGTCCCTAATCTATTCTACAGAAAATAAGCTTTCGTTCGATGTACGATTCATTGCCATATATTTTTTGTTCCGAAACTATTGTAATTTACACAATATTTTGCACCCTATTTTCTACTTTAATTCCCAGCTTTGGACATAATTGTATTTTTCCAAATTATTGTACGTTGTGGTCAAGTTATTCACTTATTTATTCATGTACCTTTTTACATTAATCCGAACTGAAATCAGGATATCAGGAATAGATCGAGTAGTGTTCCAGTTGTCTTGTCTTCTTCTCTTTACCCCATTTCGAACTCACGCGTACTAGCCTCAAGGTTAGCTCGGTCAACCTATCGCGCCAAGGTCTTACTCTGAAACCTCAGCACCAAAAGTGAGTAGACAGATCAAAGGACATAACACTAATGTTTATAAATAAACAACATCAAATCACATTAAGGATTAATTGACAGAATTCAATGAACACTAAATGGATGAATGAATAAATATAACATCGGTTACTATTCAATGAATCAAATGTTTTTTAACTTACTATCATTTCCATTCATTTTTTTTTCTAAACCAAATACAATAGGTTCACCAGTAAGGCATTTAATTCTTGTTAATTTTGTAAAAGTTGATTCTGGTTGACAACTCCATGCTGCTGATTGAGGAACTTGTACATGATCAATATGTAACATGATCTTTATTTGAAATATATTGATTTTTAGAAAAGAAAACAAACCAAATAGGGATATTGGTAAAGAAGAAAGAAAATATACAAAATATGTTAGTTACTTATGATATAAAGAATTTTAATGTAGAATTACTGTCAGATCAACTAGACATTTCACAATATTGATTAATTAATAACATATTTAAAGGTTAAGTGTTCACGTGCGAGACTGATAGGTCCTGAGTTTGAATCTCGCGGAGTGAGATCGTGGATAGGCACTGCTGAGGAGTCCCATACTAGGATAAAATAGCTGTCCAGTGCTTCCAAATTTTCTATAGTAATCTAGCTTCAACTGATTCATGAAATCAATTATTAAATTATTACAATCCCTACAAAACCACTTCCTAATTACAATATATTTTTCAACAAGTAGGCGACCTATTCATGGATTGTATTTATCAAGGAGTGAAAAATGTAGTAATATGCATTGAGAGATAGGCAGCACTATAACCTTGTTTTATCTTATTATAGGTTTTCTCTACAATGCTTACCTACAACTTTATCAAAGATAAGATCTAGTAATTTTAGGCATTATGGTAAACCCTCATCCATTAGAACCATTTAGTTAGTATCCAATAGTAAACATCAGAATTCAATTAATTCTTAATAAAGTTGTGACATTTTTTTTCAAAGTTACTTATAACAACTAGTAAACTCCTGAAAATCTATTTTTGGCTTGGATTATGAGTATGTTCTTCTGAGAAGGTTTTATACTAAGACAAAAAAAAGCTTACCTAATCTTTCCAAGTCTTCAATGTTAACTTATCTGGGTTTAATCTTTAATGAATATTATCAACACGTTATTACTAATTGGTGAAACACTTTAATCAAATTATTTAATTACAATGATTTGGTTTTCTTTTTCTTCAAAATGCGATAAGTAATTTATCAGCAGGGGTTTTGTGAAGATTGTAGTGACTTCACCAGATGATATCATGAGTCAGTTGAAGCTAGACCGCCATGGAAAACCTGGAAGCACTGGGTGCAGTTTCATCCTAGTATGGGACTCCTCAGCAGTACGCATCCACGACGCTGCCTCGTGAGATTCAAACTGAGGACCTATCAGTCTCGCGCCAGGCGCTTAACCAACTAGACCACTGAACCGCCATCCAACGGTGTTTTCCATGTTGGTCTAGCTTCAATTGACTCATGATCTCAACTGTTGAAGTAATTTGTCTTTGAATATGAAGAACAAAGAAAACAAAGTACTTCAACATCACGATTTAATGAAGGATCTATCATTTCATAAACCATTTAGATTTATAATTCGACAAGTGTACAGTGATTAAAAGAAAAGATGATAAAGTTCAGTCATGATTATTTTCTTATTCTTTTGAGATAGGGACAAATTTTTGTAGCTTAGGTAAACGATTTAGATGGAGTTTTGTTCTCTGAGCACAAACTTCAAGTAGAACTTTATGGTGATGATATTGTTTAGAAGAATAATCAAAGCTCCACTACCAAATCATTCAACTCAATGAATAAAACTGCACCTAAATCTGATGCTTTTATTACACAATTTACACTCGAACAATTATACAACTTCATGTTAAATGACAGCATAATGTTTGATCCTTTAAAGGAATATATTATCTAACAGATATTAACAAGTACACTTCATTTTCAAAACTAAAATGTGGTGTGTGCTACTGATGTCGACATAAGTAGTATATAACACCAATCAGAAATAAAATGCCTAGCAGCAGAAGGTTTGAAAGATCGAATCGAAGAGAACGGGACCAGAGAGTAATTGTTATGGCAATGAATGAACGATGAAGTTTCAGACGATTGATGAATATTTTGCAAATTAAGTATTGAACATACGTTTTAAACATTTTATCAAATAACTCTGTAATTTTACGTTCAAACAGATTGGTTGTCCTCCTCCCACATACGTTTCTGTCCATTACTGTAGAAATAATCACAATTGCGATTATTTCGTTTTATATTATTTGTTTCTAACTTACATATGTTCCATTTGTCGATCTGATATCTAAGGCCACTTCTAATGGTAATTGTTGGATTTTCGGTGATAATTTTTCCATTTTCATTAATAGATACTGTTGATCTAATTTCCATGCTTGTCCAGGTTGTAAATTTATTTGAAACTGTACATCTATAGAAACAAAGAAATATAATAAAACATTATTATAATGTAGGAAGTAAATTTACTAGAATAGACAATCACAAGAGTATAATACAATATATGTGATTATAAAATGATTAACAAGTATTTCAGTGTCAATTAAACAATTAAAAGATGGATGGTGACCAGCGGTGGAATCCAGGACGAGCGTTTTGTCCTATTTAAGACTCGTCAGTTGGATGTATCTTCATCTGAGAGTTAATATTCACTCCGGTATTTCAACCCGGTACCGTTCGCTTCAAACACTATCGTGTTATCCATTTATGTTATAACCCAGTGAAGATTAAATTACAGGTAACTCCCGAGGACTACTAATGGACTAATATTCTATAAATATTCTTATTGTATAACTATTCAACAATTACATTATGTATATTTATATTCCTCTTATTATAAGCTTTATTTTGACCTATATTTTATTATTGTACGATCTACGATTCTTAAGCCATGCTCAGTCTATTAATTACTGTCCCCCTCGTTCACAGCCACTTTTTGGCTTATTTGTGTACACATGTTATTTTCTATTTTATGGTACGTTGTGGTTTGTCTGATTGATATATAAACCGGGTATGTCTGAAATAAACGATCTGGTCTGATCTGCTCGGATTCGATTCATATTACGGAAGCTGGTATTGTGTTCTGGACTCAAGTGGAAGGGCTCGGAGGACATAGGACCAATAAGGACGCTAAACTGCCCACACCGGTTGAACGTCATTGGTTGGCCTAGTGTGAAGATTCGTATAAGTCGTATTCGGATTGGTAGATAAATCGTGTGATAGAAAAACCAGACATCCAAGGTCATAAAAATTTAGCTACTGAGTTCTGATAGCATTCGCGATGGCATTCCAACATTAACTCTGAGATTCAGGTAGATCTAGCCGACGAGTCCTGAATAAAACGAAACGCGCGTTCTTCATTCCACTCCTAGCCACTATCCATCTTTGCTTATAACGCTTGTGAATTAAGTAATACCCACAGGATACACGTAATCCAGTAATTGACTGATCAATTACTGTCCTAAACATCAATGGGAAGATTCACACAAACAATACAAAAATGAGTCAATCAAGTTATTTTAGTTCATTTTACTCCTAACTTGCTTAAGATAATCAGAACATTTTAACTCATAACTGACGTATACATAACATTTATGAAAAATAAAGACCAAGGAACTAGTTTTCACTGATAAACACTATGAAATTTATTACTCTTGTCAAGTAAATTAATTGAATCAACCAGAAATAGAAAGATATGATGAAGATCAATGAATCACTTATATTGTTTGTTAGTTCAGTAGTTAGTTGATAATTCCATTTTTTCTGATATTTGCTTGCATATAAGCTCAATAGTCTCTATATGTGGTATGTTGGTAAACAAAGATCCTACATCCAATGAGATCATAATTTTTTTCATACTAACATTAATATTTTCTACTTTACCTTTACACAAATCAATTGTTAGAAATAGTGTAAAAGATGTCGTCAACTTCACCTCTCATTGGATGTAGGATCTTTGTTCACCAATTCCATTTTTGCCAAGTTACTCATGTATTCTTCTTCAATTATTCAAAAAAAAAACGAAAGTTCTATTCATCAAAACTTTTAAATATTTAACTTCCAACAGAACACACATTAAAATATTATTTAATTAAGTTTGAAAAATGTCTTTGATTCACTTCTTGATCTCTTGAAGAAAAATACTCCACCTTTATTACTAAATTTTATGTTTTATTGGAGTACAAAGAGAAAAAGTACAATATAATGAACAATAGTTACTTGTAACTGTTAATCTTTTCTAAACTCGATCTAATCTACTAAATCTAGAATGTGTAAACATGACCCCAGTATAATTCATCTTGTTATATTAAATTGATCAATTTGAATTTATTCTTCATGGAAACTAAAAAGAATATCATAGTTCAGTCTTCAGTGAATGGATTAATTATAGATCTATCAGTTTAGGGGTTGTGGAGATTATTAAGTTTTTGAATAAGATCATCAACCGATTGATGTTAGACTACCATCAAACACCTTGAAGCACTGGATGGCCGTTTCGTCCTATTGTGAGACTCCTCAACAGTGCGCGTCCACGATAAAAAAAACTTAGCAATCTCTACAACCCCTAAACTTATAATTACCATGTGCTCACTAGTGAATAGCTTCGTGAGAAAATTAACGGAGTTCTGGTGAGAAGTCGTGACCAGTGGAGCTAATCCGTGTCGGGTAGGAACAGGTGTCTACCTCAGTACAATGGAAGATGGTCGTGTAACTTCGTGAATTGGTCTATCGAAATCTTTCCTACTAATTAAGATCATGATCAATTCAATCTCGCTAATAGTCATCACGGCGAGAGCATAATAACCAACCAGATTTACGACAACAAGTCTGAGATTTTGGTGCGAAATTCATTCACTCATTTGTTTAAATAGAGTTTTGACATTATAGCTGATGTCAGTTCGTGATGAATACTCTAAATCTAATTCCTAACCTTAAACATCAACTGTAAATCATAATTCATATTCTTCAAACTGCGTTATAGTCCTCATTTAGCCATAGTAAGTAGGTAGACACTCTCAAAATCAATTTAACGTCGCTCAAAGGCCGTCCATATGTTATAGTCTCACCATCATTACAACCATAGAGAAATATCTTATACATATACTTTGTACTACTTACAAATATATAAGTAATATATATGAAATAAACTAAATTCTGGCATGAATATAACACTTCCAAAGTTTTGGGAAGTTTTTAATATCATCAATTGGAATATTAAGGGATATTCTTTTCATTTACATTAATATAAATTAGACTAAACAAAACTAAATGTATGACTTGTCAGGAACAACAACATAAAGCAAACAATAATCATTAAATGTGTGTTGATTTATGTTGATTAGTTTCTAGGACATTTATTTAAGATCTCATATATTATTCTTCTTATGAATAATAAAACATCAAAACTAAAAGAAACAAAAGAGAATAGTTTCAATATGAAGAATAAGTGCTATATCACCAATTATGGATTCAATAAATCTTTTCAAGATTATTCATATATTTACATTCACATAGAAAATCCATTGAATATACAATTTTTCACTCATGTAAAGAAAAGGTGCATATTTTCACTAATTTCTTTTCTTGTTTTTTTTTCTAAAAATGTCATTTCTCATACATTTTATTGAATTTCATGACATTTATCTGGGTTGTGTATCTTTTTAAGACCAACATGGGGGGGTAGGGGTGGGGATGGGGGAAAATAATAATGTTTCTTTGTTCACAAAAAGTAAGTTAATGATGGGAATTATTTTTTCTCGTATTGTAATCTAAAGTAATATAAAATGTCATTACTTTAGTCACTATACATTATTATGTAAAAAAACGGGGGGGAGTTAAGATAGTGAATTACTGTTATAATAATAAAGCATATTCATTATGAAGATGATTAGTTAGAATAGATTAGTTGTTAACTCAGATTTTAATTGAAATGAAACTAATTGACTTAAAATTATCAAGAAAAGTGCAGGAAAAATGAAGTTAATTCTGTGATCTCTGATTTGGTTCTATCAGTAATATATGCTATGAATACCCGCTTCACTTATATATGCATGAATGTAAACTAACTGTTATATCCTAGTGAAAATTGCATTACGAGTAATGTCTGAGACTTATTAATCGAAAAATATTATTTATATATTCTTATGGTATAAATTTTCAGTAACTAGATTGTGTATATCTATATTTCCCCATATTATAAGCTTCATTTTGATCTATAGATTATTATTGTACGATATACTGTTCTTAAGTTATACTTAGTTATTTGATTACCGTCTCCCATGTTCACAACAACTTTTTGGCTTTATTGTGTACAAATGTTATTTCCTATTATATGGTGCGTCGCAGTCTGTTTGTTTGATATATAAACCCAGTATGTTTGAAATAAAAGATTCTATTCGATTCGTATATTGGAAGCTGGTATTGGTGTTCTGGACTCAAGTGGACGGGTTAGGCGGACATAGGACCAATTAGGACGCTAGGGTGCTCATACCATTCGAACGTTACTGGTTTTGTCACAGTGCTGAGATTGTATAAGTCGTATTTTGATTGTTGGATAAATCACGTGGTAACTAGCCGGACATAAAATCACAACACTAACAGTAGGACAACATACTGTGTTAATAATAATAATATGTAAGTATGAATTGACAAGAAATCGGTTTAAAAAGTCGAAATTGCAGGAAACTTTAAATATATCAAATGGTTACTAGAAGTATGGTATTTAAACCAACTGTTATTCAATCCAATCAGTCAATATATACTGAAGAGCTCAATCAATTAAATTACAAGGATCGAAGTTAACAACCATCATGAATGAAAGAATAAACAAAAATAGAAACTTACGAAAACTAAACAACTAAACACAAACAGGGCTATCAAAAAGAAACTGATCTAACACCTATAGAATAACAATATATGAAGTAAGCCATTGATAATACTGTCAATAGGGCAAGTTATATATCATTTGTATAGAAAATTTGACAATGAACTACTTTTCCAAGTTTATATTGAACAGTTACAACTTGAACTAACTTAGATCAGATAAATTCAATACACATAAAATAAATACATAATCAAAAAATTATTTGAATATTGATTTCCATCATTTGTTGTCTTTCAAACTTCTTTACCAGAATACGATAATTTGCATTCAGTGAGTTATTAGATCTTCTTCATGGAAGTTCAGTACTTCATTTTCAAAGTAAACATAATTATGTACTTTGATTAAAACATTTACAGAAATTGGTTCAAATTTTAAAAGACTTTAGTAATATATGCTCATTAATGAATGACTTTCAAATGATTTCTCGATTTTCATAGAAGAACTATTGACTGGTAGATTCAGCAACTTGTTAAAAATTCAAAGTTACAGTGATTATCAACTTTAAAGAGGAAGAATGTATTTGTAGAATC